AAAAGGCTGCATGTGGCCTCCGGGCCTCAGGTTGGGCACCAGAGCATCAAAGCAATGCACCTCTAATGCACAGGTGTTGCAGTTCACTATGATCCACTGTATGGCACTACTGTACTGCAAAAAATGGTGCAGGTTAATTATTAGACCCATTGTGGTGCATTGGCAGCCCATTCAAATGAATAGGCTACTTTAAAGCAGTCGATAATACGAAATCACCTGCACTCCATACAGCATACAGACCTTGATGAAAGGTTAGTGCTCGAAGTGACAACACGGATGGCGCCCAGAAGAAGGGACCCTGCGTGGCCCTGAAACGTTGGCTGTATGACGCATTTGACAATTTAATAAAAAGTGCTTTACTTCTTGCACACATCGAGTGCTGGTGACTTTCATTATGTACTATAAAGCAGGGCACGTTGACACGCAACATAACATTAGCACACCACAGTGGAACGGATAGATGGGAATGGGCCCTTACAGAGGTAGCATATACCTACTGCATATATATATCCATATATATATATATATACACACACATATACACACACACACACACACACACACACACACATACACATGTACATGCATTATGTTTCTGGCTGTGTATGTGTGCTCATGTAATTAAATATATTACAAATATACAGGACACCTGCAACATCCAGTTCTAAGATAGCAGCTATTATTATGGCTTCCCTGTATAAAAATAGTTCCTGCGACTGAATGTACATCTATTTATATCTACCTGCTTGTAATGGGGGTCTATAGCAATATATTACCAATATTACGCTCTCCGGAGACACCCTGCCTGATTTATGGCAATAAGTAAAAAGTCACACCAGCTTCACAGAAGTCATTAAATTGGATGCCATCAATTTTTATGAACCTTGGGTTTATGAGGCCTGGAGATCGCTGTGACGCACTGATGTGATTGTATGAACACAGGGGTGCCGATTCACTCATCACTCCTGGACGGGAGGCAATTCCGGAGAAATGATGGGTGTTATCACCTCCTGATAATCACATAATACCTGCCATGTGTTGGTGTGCAACAGATAAATAACGATGAGGGGATTTCTGAAAATCCGCTCTATGTTTATTTGGCCTCTAATGAACTTGCACTGGGGGGCTTTGATCCCCTTAATAGGTCTCTATGTCCTCCACTGAAGGAAAGATAGTACTTTCATATTAGAGCAATGACATCACAGAGGGTAGAGAATCATTCAGGGGATCCCTTACACCCACTTCATAAGAATGGGATTAGATCCCAATTACTGACTGAAATCAGTGTGGATTGCCCTATTACAAAGGTTGTATCAAACGTTACAATATTATTGATTGACAATTGATACTTTGTTGTAATAAATTAAAGGGAAAGTATAGCAGTTTTTATTTAATGTTTTATTGCTCATGGTCAGAGAAAAAAAAAAAAATTATGTAAACATGTCATAGTTGCCATCGTGTCTATATCAGATATTAACTGAACTTTCAAGCCTTGAAATGGATGATGTCATAGCTGATCACCATAGAAACTGCCTGTAAATAGAGGCTAAGATGGCGCTGTTTTCAACTGTAAAGGATAGGAGGTTTTAATTCCACTTTAAGTCTATTAAAAGTGTATAGCCTTTGGAGATGATCATATGTAAAACAAGTATTATTGTCTCTAGTATGCCGTCCTGGAAAGGTTTGGTTCCTAAATATTGCACATATGACTCTCTTAAGCTTACGTTTATGACTCTCAAGAGAGTCATATGCACAATAAAAAGATTTTTGTATTTTCCATTGAGGGACACAGGAATGTTGCAATTCTAAGACATTTGGGTTATACTGGTTTAAAGAGGTTTGGACACTTGCAAACAACAAAAACCATGTCTCTAAGGCTCATGCACCATATGTGAGCAAGCAGTACATAAGGTCAGTAACAGAGAGGGGCAAGACCTGTGTCCCTCAATGGACTTCAAGAAAGAGATTTTAGGGTAAGTACAAAAAACTTATTTTCTTTATCATCTATTGAGGTACGCAGTAATGTAGTAATTCTTAGACAGTTGGGATGCCCAAAAGCAGTCCAACTAGGGGTGGACAATAGCCACTGAGAGATCCAAAGAATATTGAATTCTTACTATCTGAAGGAATATCTAAAGGAATCAAGACCTGAATAAAGGGCCAAGGCAACTATGGAAATTGCTACAACCAAAGGACATTGAGTATCAACCTGGTGTTCCTGACCATGATATGTTATCCGCAGTGCTACCTGAAAGAATGTTAGACTTCAACTAATAATGTGAAGGACAGCCAATCATCCACCATAATGAAAACCGGTGGAAAAACAACTACCTGAACAGGAGGAAGAACCCAGACCAATAGCTAAGGTGGTAAAGAAAAAAAGAGTAATCAGGACAGAAGATGATACAAAATCTTCCAGTGGAGGCACCCTTTTCAGGAGGACTTGGAACAACTCTGCCCCCAAACAGGACACAGATAGATTTACAGGTTAAGAGATTTATTTAAAGAGGTTTCCCACTTTCAACAAAAATCTTTAAACTTGCCCACTTTCACCACTGGTAAATAGGGAAAACTAGCTCATAACTCCTCCAATCAGCTGTGAAGTTATTGTTGTGCAGACAAGCCTACTATTGTTGTGCAGACAAGCCTACTATTGTTGTGCAGACAAGGACTACCTGGTAGTCCAGCCACTGAAAACCCATTTAAAAGCAATGGTTTTCCTAAGGTGAACATTAAACAAAGCCACGCAACACTTGGTAGCCTCACAACTACTCTTCAATTGATTGAGGGACAGTTCTACCTATCAGCAATGTGCAAAAAACCCTAAAAAGCTAATTTCAGAAAAGCCAACTTACCCACAGAGGACTTCCCTTCCGGGGTGCCGGGGCTCTGGTTTGTGGCTTCAGAATACAAGTGAGACACATAATTATATAATGAAGAATCCAAAGCAAATACGCATGTAGAAGACAAGATTGGCTAAAACATGTCATTCAACCCACAATATTCCCCTTTATTAATCTACTGAAAAGCAGAATTCCACTGCTGGCTGTACACCAGGCCGTTTTCTGCCATTAATTATGTAGCCCTATTTTTACACTCTCTGCAGGCTATCTCTCTGTGAACAGGACAAAATCTCTAATAAGCACCAGTAGCTCTACTTAATTGGGTCTTGTGGATAACAAGTATAATCCCAATTGAGAAATGTATCAGCCACAATAGATAGTAATCCACACGGTATTGTATTTGAAGGTCCATATATTGAACGATAACATCCAGTGAACCATAAAACTTAGGGTATTCTCCAAACAGGAACATTAAGACGTTATACAGTCCTTCTTTTTGTGTCTCTGTCCATGTGCCTCTTTTGCAGGCTTACCCAAGAACCCTTGCAATCCTTAGATGCTGGAGGTTTGACTGCTGGAGGTGCCTTTGACTGCTGGAGGTGCCAGGAAGGCCAGGAGATGGCATGGACCTCAGGAATAAGTCCGGTGTCTCTCCCAGGGAAGATCTCAAGCACATCCTCTATTCAGCTATTGCTCTGTTACACAGTGTCACCCTCTGCTCAACTAAAGCATTCTTGCACTGTGGAAACTGGAAAGGATTGCTGAGTCTGGAGTCTATTTTTGCTGTGAATGTCTGTAGCCCTACACCCTCTCTCCCAGTTTTGGCTGCTTCACAATAAAGCATTGAAAAAGTACTTAAAGTGACTGGTACCCAATTTACTGTTCACATCCCACAATCCAGCTAAGGATCTATCTCTGAGAGTGAAATGTCAGCCCCCCTGCCTCTGGGGTATGTCACCTGCCTTTGGAGGTCAGGGGGGCGCTACATCAGCAGTTTCAGAAGAACGCCAGCAATGACAGCCCCCCATGTGTCTCTCAGGAAAGTTTTGCTTTATAAAGACATTCATTGTCCATTTTTAGGGCAAGGCTACAACAACTCTCGATAGCCCCCACCCATGCAAAGTATATTCACTAGGGATGCACCGATACCGGCTTTTCGGTATCGAGTATGAGTGCCAATATTTTTTTGTCTCCAGTACTCGCCGATGACGAATACCGATCCCGGAAGTCCCATTAAGGAAGCCAGGCTTCAATGTAAAGACTCACCACCCGGCTTCCCGATTAGCAGGTGACGAGTGACGAGGGAGCATGGAGCCGGCTTCCCGGCCAATCAGAAAGCCGGCAGCATGTATTGACTTGCTGCCCAGCTTCCTGACACCGGAAGTTCGGGTATTGAGCTAGGCATCAGAGCAGTTGGATGAGTATTTGCCCAAATACTCGGTATCGGCACTGGTACTAGTATCGGTATCAGTGCATCCCTAAATTATTCACCCACCCGCATTCTCTTGTGCTTGTCAACTGTCAAAGCCCTCACACTGTTGCATTGATGGAGCAGGGCTTCAAGGTATGGGGAACATGTGTCATAGGGTTTGAGTGGCTAAATGCCAGATTTGGCCACCATCACCTTGACTGGAGGAGCACCCAACTGGGGAAGCCTGGGGAGCTTAGCCAGGGTGACCAGTGAGAGAACATGGATCGGCGACTATGCCTTGCTGGGACGAGGGTTAGTGGGCCTATCAGGAGCACTGTGATGGGCACATGACAGGGTCTCTTTAACACAACTGTTTTCCATTTTTTTTTTTTACAACCCGTGCAAGGTTTTTATTCACCAGAAATCCTCGCAGTAAAAATCACTCCATCTTCGAGTTACCCAAATGAAGCCGCGGAACAGAACAATAAAGATGGTTGAAAGTCTAGCTGCCAAGTGGCGGGATTAATGGATTATAATATAAATGTCACTGTGTTCCAAATTGCGATGATGAATGTGTTTATATTGTTCCTCTCAGAGTTACAGCCGACCTTCTTGTTTTACAAATGTAGCGAGGATGCTGTGCATAATGTCCTCGGTTTTTACATCTCTATGAAGAAAGCTGCCGCTGTCTTCACAAAGGAAAGCGTCATCCTTCATACCTCGCAAATAAAAAAAATAAAGCTCACCTGTCAGAGGCGTCATGAGCTCCTCCGCAGAAGGGATCGATGTTGGGTCACTTTGCAAAGCAGTCTGCTCCCCTGGAAACAAAAATGGAGCCGAGTAAGTTAGAAATATCTGAAGTGATCATCAGCTATATATAAAAACGTTGCAGTCTAGGCAGGTATAAAAGACGCACATGAATGCAGCTCTGTAATCAATAATAAATCATCAAGTGCATTTTTTTTGATGCAATCAGTATAAGAACCTGAATTTGACCTATTGCAGTCCCTGACCTGATATTAAGTTATTGCAGTCCCTGCTGGAGAGTGAGAGAAAGAAGCAGAACAAGAAGCCAGTGAGTTCAGTTGCTGACAAGGAGCATACTGATAGGGGGAGATAGCTTCTTCTTCACTGACCAGTCACAGGCTGAGGGTGGGTCCAGGACAACGTGGGCTCAAAGTAAGAGGGTTAAATGATGCTGAGGACATCTAATGGTAAGAAACAAGCACAGGCAGCGGGATCTCTGGACTGAAGGTGAAAACCGCAGCAAAACCTGGTCTTGTTATTGGGCTATGTATGTTTATCTTATTCTTTTTGACTCGATTTCTGCCTTAAACTGCTTTTGTCTGGTAACATTCCCAGTTGCCAAATGTCCATGATTTGCAGGTTCTATGGTTTTGTCAATGGAAATAGTCCTGATTTCAGGAATGACAAACAGAACCAAAATTGTATCTACTTGCATATGAGAAATGATAATAATAATATAATTACTAATAATTAAAAATAACAATTATTATTAGTATTTTTTTTTGTATTACTATTATTATTTAATGATGATGATTTATACTGATGGACTCAATGGACATTTGTCTTTTTTCAACCTGAATAACTATGTAACATTGATACCATCAAAGAAATCTTAACAGCGCTCAAGTCAGCAATTCCATGTAGTTGACTTTTAATTGGAATTTATAGCTTTTTTTCTGCCCCCTTCTTCCAGTGGTGGGCGTTCCACAATGGTGCAGAGAGTGTTGCTAACATGCTCTTCCTACACAGAATCCTCAGCTTTTCATAAGAGGTCCAGCACATGCTGAAAATATGGCTGCTATGAGCCCACCCCTTTATAGAAATGGTGCTCGGTTATCCATTCCTATAAATTATTTTCCTTGTGCCTCATCTGACCAGGAGCAAAGGCTATGGACTGCATTATAGGTTACTTCTAGTAGAGCCAAAGGAAATCTCACCGCTCCAATTCCTTAGCCGCCATTAAGACTCCCCAGGTGCTAGTCTAATGTAGTAGTATACGACCTCTATGAATAAGCCTACGGGTGAAACATGTGAGAGGTTGTAGCTGGTTGGGGGTGTGCAGTGCTGGTATTTGTTTGCTTTATACACTTTTATTCACTGTCATACTGGATTTGCTGTGAATTTTAATAAAGTCCGAAGTAGGGATGCATCGATACCAAGTACAGTACATGGTACAAGTACATGTGCAGATACTTTTCGAGCTCCAAGACTAGACTAGAGAAAAATTAGGAGGAAGCTGTCATGTGTAAGGAGCACACGGAGCTCCTGGGATTTGTAAATCTCTGTTTTAATGTATAATTTTGTTTTTATAAATATAAATAAGGGATACACCGATACCAGTTTTGCGAGTACAAGTACGAGCACTGATACATTTTTGTTTATTGTCATGTGACAGTTTTTCAAAAACAATACAGACTAATGATTTCAGGACAGTGGTGGAGCGCCAGAGCCCGGTCCCAGCTGCAACCGCTGCAACACTGGGAGTTCTCATGAAAATGCCAAGTATCGGCATTGGTACTCGAAAAGTATCGGTGCATCCGTAGTCCGCAGTATTGGAATTCTTTGGATAGTGCGGTCTGTTCGTATACTAATAGGTTGCTTCTTATTTCTGGAGCCAAACCTGCAAAGTCTACCATTCGCAGACTTCACATTTTTCAGGGATTCACTGCAAACCGATGGTAGCATCAAACCCAAAGCACATCCCTTGTTCTGGTATCACTCTATCCAAAACTAGAAGGTTCAGGAGGGATACCGCCACTCTATCTTGTATACTGATAGATTTCAATGAGTGGACCTGTTTGTCTTCTCAACATACAGTATTTGCTCCAGTTTAGTAATGAAGCCAGATAGCCAGTCTAACACCTGGGAAGCAATGGTGGCCTCCATGTGGCTTTCAGGAGAGGACTCCTTTAATACTCTGTAATAAGTTATGCTTTTTATAGGTCATAGTTGGAATACTTGTAAACCAACACAAACCCAAAGATAGTGTCCAGGTGGGTAGGGCCGGATTTCCCACAAGGCCAACATGGCCTGGCCTTGAGGCGGCATGAAATAGTAGGCCGGCGCAGCCGCCGGGCGGGTTGTTCTTTTCTACATTTAGCCCTGCTCTTGCAACCTTCCCCTCTCAGCTGTCACAGGAGTTCCAGTACAGTGCTGTGCTAAAACTCCTTTACTGGAGGTGACAGGTTTAATAAAGAGAACCTGTCACCACCAATTGCTATCACACACGGGCTTGTTAGCTAAGTGACGTCACCTCCCAGCAGTGGAAATTGTGATGAAAAGATACAGTTATTTATGCTTCGTTTTCCAACAGAATAAAATAATTGCTTCTCATTTCCACATTTCTTCCCTGCTGAGGGGACTTGTCTCTGAGTGCAGATAATGATTTGAGCTGGAAATATATACGTTTAATAGTCACCTTCCATTCATATAATAATGGCGGGAGGAGACACGGCCCGCTGCTTCTACATGTTCTATAAATTGTATTAAATGTCTAATGAGAGTGTAGTGATTCCATGCAGAAATGAGTAATACAGATCATTGCTTTTGGAGAACAATTATATACATTTCATTGGCATAGTAATGTCAAAACCTAGCCTTTAAAGAACCCTATAGACAACTAGACATTTTGTAACATATCAGCAGTAGTTAATGCTCAACTTCAGCATAATTTCTGTCCTGTTTAACCACTTCAAGACCAGGTGTTTAGACCCCCTTCCTGGCCAGGCCATTTTTCAGTATTCAGCGCTGCGGTACTTTGATTGACGTTTATTCCGTCATGCAACGCTGTACTGAAATTAATTTTATACCATTTTTTGGGGACAGATAGAGATTTCTTTTGGTGGTATTTAAACACCACTGGGGGTTTTATTTTTTACTATAATTAAGAAAAATTACAGAAAATTTTGGGAATTTTTTTTTTTTTTTACATTATGTTAGGAAACATTTATTATTACCCAGTTTTTTGGTAAAATATAAAGATCGGGTCACGTTGGGTAAATAGACACCAAACATGTCAAGCTTTAAAATTGCGCGCACCCGCGAAATCGCAGAAAACGACCATACCCAAAATTGGCCATAGGCGACGCTTTAAAAGCTTTTACCGCTCATCAGTTTAGTGTTATCAGTGATTGATGGCCCTAGACTTATTGCTCTCACTGCGACGTTCGCTGGCCGTGGAGGGGCCGCTCAGATCGCCCGCTCACATCTAAAGATGCCCGCTCAGATCTAGAGACCTCTCGGCCGGCCGTTTTTTTTACAACCACTGAGGTGGTTAAAATGCCCCCTATTAAAAATCGAAAGCAGCTCAAGCTGCAACACTCACCTCCTCCCCTGTACTACCTCTACTCCACCACAAGATGTCCTCAGTCTTCTGGTGTGAATTGATGACTTCCCCTCCCCTGTCACGGCAGAGAGCCGTGACAGGATCAAGAGGTGAGCGAACGCCGGTATATGTTCGCTCACCTCCCGATCTACTGAGCCGACCTGTGACAGTCTCATTGTCACTAGAACTATGATGTGAGTGAAAAGCACTCGCATCATAGTTATCATTTAACCTGGAAGACTGAGGACATACTATGAGGGCAGGGGGTAGGGTTGTCACCTTTTCTTCAAGCAAAACCCGAACACTCTAGCGACGAGCGGACATTAATGAGTGGCGCCTTATTCATATGTAAATAGAGCCACCCATTCATATGTAAATATCACAGTTGAGACTATTTTCAGTGGAGGGCCAGTAGCCCCATCTTAATTTTGGTTGCCCATGTCTGTCTGACATCTCGTGTCCGGGTTTCTGCTGCCATGAAACCCGGACACAGTATTCAAAACCCGGACTGTCCAGGTGAATCCTGGACAGGTGGCAACCCTAGCAGGGGGTTTAAGGACCAGAACACTAGGAAGGTGTTGCTATGGTGCCCTGCACTCACAGTACAATAAGGTAGAGAGTTGTGCCAAGTGCCACTCTGAGCATTCGTTGAGAATCACGCGACTGGTCTGAAGACATCTGGAACAGGTAAGTATAAAAACACAAAAGCATAAAATACCACCGGGAGGACCTCCAGTAAGGGACGGGATGCACGGGTCAGATGGGGTTGGAGACAGAACCCAGAGATCAGCTTTAACTTAAATACAAGAATGTCTGCACTCCTCTATACATGATATGCCCTGTGCAGCAATAGGCACCTCTGGAGTCAATAGTCTGCATCAAAAAGGAACCACACCAGGAAATTAAGAGTGGCATCTTCAGATTTAGCCATTTAATGTACTCTTCAAGAGCTCCATTGTGCATCATATGTCAGCAGTGTGACAAACAAAGCACTGCATTTATATCACGCTACATTTCAGGATACAACAAGATCCTTCCTCAAGGTGGAGCTGGAACAAAAGGTGCTGCTTTGAGGAACCTGGTGCCATTTCTTGTTTGAGTCAACTTTAGGAGGATTGGTTGTTAAAAGAAAACCCGTACTGGGAGCACAGAGAATGTTACTGGTGATCACTTGTTTGATGCAGAGTCAACATAAGGAGTCTTGGTTGTTAAAGTAAAAAATAAAGCCACCAGCACACCAAATAGTAGTTTAGCAATCGTCCATTTAATGACACATTGCCATTCAATGCCTTTTGAATGGCAATGTGTCATTAAATGGACGATTGCTAAACTACTATTTGTTGTGCTGGTGACTTTATTTTTTCATTTGATTTGTTCACGGTGCCATCCGTGGTCACTACAAGCACCCACCCGTCTACACGGGTCTCTTGGATGTTCTGGGAAGGAGTGCAGCAAGACCTCTTGTTCTGAATCTTGGTTGTTAAAGGAAACCCATGCAGGGGGAGCGCAGAGAATGCCACTGGTGATCTCTTTGTCTGAAATTGCTAGTTAGCCGGCTTCTATTTTGGTCCTTTTGCTTCAATACTTCGAGCCACTGACCTAAAACAAAAATGCAAGTAAGGACTACTACCTTTCCTTGACTCTCCTGATTTGCATGATTACAGGCCGGGGAGGGGGCTCAACATAACACTAAGGCAACCAGCATTTTGAGAAGTCCACAATAGTAGCCTTAAGTAACACGTGCAAGAGTTTTAACAAGTATCTCACTAAAAATATAAACTTCTGCTGGATACGATGCCAGTTATTTGACTTCAAGCCATGTCCAGACATCTTGGAAAACGTACAGCACCAATAATAATCAGGTGGAAATTGGGTCATTCTTTACACAGAATACAGCTGCCATTGCTGTAAAGAAGAGATACTGAACTCTACTGTATCTGGCAGGGAAGGAGACCTGATTTTTCCCTGCAGCAGTTATGTAGCCATTACAGGTCTTATCTCTCCCCAAAACCAGTTGCCTTCAAGCTGATGACCACCATCATTCAACCCACTTCCTCTGAGCCTGGGTTGTCCCGGACAAACCCCCACCCTTTGACTGGACAGTGAAGGAAAAGACAAAACAAAATGATGAGCTCATCTCCTTGTCACTCTGTGGTCTCTTCTTATCAGCAGGGCTGCTTTGCCACACAGAACAGCCCTTACTAGTTGTCCTCAGTCTGATGACTGGACAATTGGACAATTAAGTCTGATGACTGGATGAATGGACAGTGAAGGAGAAGCAGCAGACTGATGAGCTCATGTCTCTGTCACTCTGTGCTCTCCTCTTATCAGCAGGGCTGCTTTCTGACACAGCACGGCCCTGTCTAGCAGGGAGGAAGACCCAATTTTACTCTGCAGCAGTTAAGTAGTCATGACAGGTCTTGTCCCTCCCCTTGACTAGTTGTCCTCAGTCTGATGACCACCATCATTCAACCCACTTCCTCTGACCCTATACCCCCACCCTTTCACTGGACAGTGAAGGAGAAACAGCAGACTGATAAGCTCATCTCTCTGTCATTCTGTGATCTCTTAGCAGCATGATTCTCATTAGCACATGAGCAATGCTGATTGGCTCCTTGTGCTGATTCTCCCTCTTCCAGTCTGAGCTCTGCTGTGCAAGGACTACAAAAGGCTCATACCAGGTCAAAATCAGGTACTTACATTGCCTGCAGTTTAAATAATACAGTAAGTAATACAAAACTGCATTAATTTATGTCTATCTGGCTGGTGTCCAGCTTTAAACCACCATAGCTGGCAGCAAACTATAATGGAAAGGTCATGGGTTCTGTAGCAATTGCATATGCTTTGTCTTTTTTAAATTAGAGTGACGTTCCCCTTTAAGACATACCTTCCTGGGTTGGAATGTACATGACGTCCGCACTTCTGTTCTGCAGTGCTGCAAGATACAAGGATGTTACATTTACAATAGTACATCACTAGCTACTTTACAAGCCTACTTCATAGAAGCCATAGTTCCCATACACTGCACTGATGATGGCCAGAAAGACTAAAACAGCTGTATGCAATTTGGAATAAATGGCTCTAAAATACTAGGCTATATTTGCACAATACACCAGTGTTTCTGGGCGTGCATTTGTCTGCTGGGGTGTAAAGGAATGATTTGCATGACTCCGCCCACTGTTATGATCCTCTTATTTTTGGGATATGTGATGGAATTAGACTATAACATCTGTTTTAAGAAGGTTTTACAGTGCTGTGCGTTGAGTCAGTTGGAGGACTTTTTGATTCCTTTAGTCCTTTCTCACCAGAACCTGTATGGTTATATTGTCTTGTTGGGTCCCAAGGCCTATTCCATAGAAACCATGGTTTACATGCACTGCACTGATGATGGCTAGGGATGAGCCTAGGCTTAAACTGAACCTAGTCTGAACCTCAGCTCCCCTGAACCTGGAAGCTCCTTCCATGCCGCCCAACCAGCTGTAGGTGGGAAATTCCCTGCCTACAGTTTGACATAAGTTACTGGGTAGGATGCAGAGACGTCATTGACCTTATATGGCTACATGCCTATATTTAGGAAATTAAATTGACCTAATACGGCTCTGTGACCATATAAGGTAAATTACATCAGCACAAGCATCCCGTCCCCTTTGTTTAATTTTTTTGTGTGAAATGCCTTAATTTTGAGTAATTGCCTATTTTAGGTCCTGTGATGTCATAGGCTCCTTCATTCAGAATCACTTTGCCTGGGCACTGGGAGAAGGATCTGTACACAGACCTAGATGTTTCCTAGGCAAGATGAGTTTCATTCCCCATGTACCATGGGGCATGGTAGAACACTGTGGGCCAATCAAAAGGGTGTGGGCAGTTTGCAACCAAGTTCTGCACCCACAGAAGGAAACATGTTGTCAGCATGTCACCGCTCCCTTGAGGTTGAACTACAAGCACAAAAACCTTTTTCGATATATTGCTTAATAGCCACAAAGGATATCAATGAACTTTGTAAGCAGTGGTAACTGAGCTGTACATTGCCTGTGCAGAGACTAGAGCTATGGGAGGGGCCCAGCTGGCCCCACCCTCAACAGGCTGCCTGCAGAAAACTACAGGAGGGGGCGGAAACTAGACCCGTCACCCTCCACAAGGGGAAAGAGTAACAGTGACTGGTCTTGATTACAGGAAAGAGGGGGACAGAGTGAAAACACGCATTTTAAATACAGAAGAGCGGGTGCTGAGCTGTCATGAGTGTACCCTGAACTGAATATTTCATTGTTCAATTAACGGAAATATTTAGCCAAATTATTAAAAAACATCAACAATTCCAGTAAAAGAGCTCCCGCTAGCCCTTTAAGGGTTTCTGAATGACTGGAGGTGGGGCTTATGCAGGGGTAACCAAACTTCAGCCCTCCATCTGTTGCGGAACTAAGCATTGCAGGACTCTGAAAGCCACAGGCATGACTCCAAGAGGCATAGGTATGATGGTATTTGAAGTTTAACCACAGCTGGAGGGCCAAAATCTGGCTACCCCTGTGCCTATGCAATCACTGTGACTGGTGGTCACATGATCCCACCGGGACAGCCCAGTCATTGTACTAGGGGCGTGCTTACTTGTGTGCTCTCGGGATAGAATAGCTGGCCAACTTGAAGCATATATACATACAGCCAGAGTTCAAGTCCATGCTCCACACTAATGCATATGTGCGGTGAAGGGGTTTCCCCATTAAAATTGATAAAAATGTTATAAATGAGACCACATTTCATTTTCGAGAAGCATAATGCAGGCAAAACAAAAGGCATCTGCCCTCCCACATATTTCAAAGTCTCTACTCATACATCTGCTGTTTTGTGAATACAATTATCATTGTAGATATGAGAAGTCATTTATAGATATCCTCTCCGGAGCCGATTCCCCAGCACACCTTCGTATGCATAAATCACAGCCTTGGAGGCATAATGAGGAGCCTTGCTGAATATTCAGGAGCTGGAGACAGCTGGTTTGTAGTCGCTGGAAGCCCACAAGCTATTCTGGGGAAACCAGTGCAAGTCAGTCACAAAACTTACTGGAAACAAATTAACAACTTCAGGAAGTCGCTAAAGTGTAATGAAGATCCATTTTTTTAATCAAAGTCAAGGATGACTCCCCCCAAAAAAACGTTCAGAACATCAGATGGACACGGCGCCCTACTGCTGAGATATGGCCACATTAAGCCCCAACAGTCACTCCGTTGTCTCCTTTCTGGTTTGATGTAGAGACCACTATACAAAATCTTCTTTCTTTCTTTCTTTCTTTCTTTCTTTCTTTCTTTCTTTCTTTCTTTCTTTCTTTCTTTCTTTCTTTCTTTCTTTCTTTCTTTCTTCTGTACAGCGACTGATAAACCTGGGGCTTTATGTTTTTGTGTGGACGCGTAGCTTCTTATGCCTCAAATACATGTCGGCAAAACCTGCACGCAAGAAATGGTTGGAGAGAATTCTGTTTGCTGTTGGTCATCTCTTTGTGGGAGGCCTGGATGCTTTTATTAGTGCTTAGTAAGTAGAGGGCAAGGGTAATCAGTCTTCGAATACCACTAAAAGAGCCTCCTTTGGGCTCACCTTCTAAGCTGGATTCCCAGGCAAAACGCAGGTTCTGGTCCACTAATCTACTATGCCAAGACCTAAGCCTTTGCTAAAAAGGAACACCCCCAAGTCATGCGAAATCTCTCTGATGGGGACACAGAAGAAAACAAGAACACATTTGAATGCTGTCTGCATCTTATGATCCTCGTAAAAAAGTGCACCCCTTATTTCTTGGACGGGCGTCACAGGGAGAGGGAGTGAGGGGAAATTTCCTCAATGAGGTCACAAGCAGGAACAACTTGACCTTGGCTGGGGTTAAGCTTTAACATTCTGAAAACCCCCCAATATCCTGGAAGAAAATTTAAGGATCTTCAGAACTTACATTTTGCATCCATGTCACTTTTCCGGATTGTGATTTCTGGAGCAGCTACAAAAGGAAAATATTGTATGACTGTTAGCTGTTATTTTTTCCTGACACTCACTTATTATTCACCGTTGTCATTATTCTCATGCAAGAAATGTATGGAGAGGAGCATAGTGCTATACATTTAAAGGGAATGTAAAGGGGGTTTTTAAATGACTAAAAAAACAACAACAAAAAACAATTTCCATTTCATTTTTAAATATAATTAATCAGGTGAAACAAAATTTTGCATACTCATATTATATAGTCTTCTATCCAGCCAGCAGATGGTGCTCTAGTCTCCTCTCCACATTATTAGCACTAATCACTTTTCAGTTTGTTGTTTTCAGAACCTGAATGAGTGGTCAGAATATTGACTCCTCCCTTTTCAGGTGGCCCTGTACAGGTTTCAATCCGACAAATGGAGCCGCAAAGCAAACTGCATTGCTGTGCTGTTTCTTTATAGAACTCTTAATGTTCTGGGAACACTGTGCCATAATAAATGTTTGTATTTCAATTAATATTATTTAACTATATTTGTAAAACAAGGACTGCATAAAGATAGAGAAAAAACTGATATAAACTACAGTCTTAAAATCCAACTCCAGCATGGTTAAAAAACAAACAAAAAAAAAACACTCCCCTGAACTAAAAGTAAAAAAGTGTCTCCAGCTGCAATACTCACCCGTTCTTCTGCGCTGTCCTCTGCAGAATCACCAGCTCATTGATCCAGGTCACTATTTCTCCAGGTTGCATGGCATCCAGTAAGCTCAGGGCGTTAAAGGGTCACCCCTCAACCTGGACTTACAGGAGAATTCTGCACCACATCATTACTGGATGCCATGCTGATGACAGATTAGCACAGTGCACATGCGTAGTTAGTAGGGCCATTCCTAAAATAAGGCAGCCTGAGGCAGATGCCTCAGGTGGCATCTCACTGGGTCACATAGGAGGGGGGGGGGGGCAGCAGGTGCACCTTCCGTTCCCTTTCTGGCTAGAGTGTCCCATGTCGCTAAGAGCTCTTAGCAACCTGGGATGCTCTGGCTAGCGTCGTGCTCAGCTCCTGGCAACCAGTGACGACACTGGTCTCTACTCTTCCGGGTTGCGCGACATCCAGTGTGCCCAGGGCATTAAAGGCTCACCCTTCACTCCAGATTTACAGGAGACTTCTGCACCATATGGGTTGACTCAGGTGGCGTCTCACTGGGTCACGTGGGGGGGGGCAGGCTCTCTTTCTGGCCAGAGTGTTCCAGGTTGCTAAGAGCTCTTAGCAACCTGTGACTCTCTGGCCAGCATCCTGCCCAGCATGTGGCAACAAGTGAGTAAACTGGTTGCCAGGAGCTGAGTGCTAAGTCCTTTTTATTGGACAAAAACGTCACAGAAATCCAAAACGAACCAACGTTTCGGGGCCGCGCAGGGTCCCTTCCTCAAGGCAGAAAACATGACCAATACAGAATGAATTCTGACTTGAGAAAGCTAGTCGGATGACCAGAAAAACGTCTTCAAGAAAAAATACAGCAAGTCCCGTTGCCTTGATTTATTTTTTACAGATACAAGAGAAGAGAGAGCAGCAGGGACCGGTCTTTACAAGGAGGGGCGGAGACAAGACCAGTCACCCTGCACAAGGAGAGAGAGAAGCAGTGAGTGGTCTTTATTACAAGAGGGAGTGGAGACCAGACCAGTCACCCTGTACAAGGAGAGAGAGAGAAGCAGTGACTGGTCTTTATTACAGGAGGGGGCGGAGACAGGACTAGTCACCCTGCACAAGGGGAGATAACAGCAGTGACCGGCCTTTATTACAAGAGGGAGTGGAGACTAGACCAGTAACCCTGCACAAGGAGAGAGATAGCAGCAGTGACTGGTCTTTATTACAGGAAGGGGCGGAGAGAAGACCAGTCACCCTGCACAAGGGGAGAGAGCAGCAGTGAGTGGTCTTTATTACAAGAGGGAGTGGAGACCAGACCAGTCACCCTGTACAAGGAGAGAGAGAGAGAAGCAGTGACTCGTCTTTATTACAGGAGGGGTCGGAGACAAGACCAGTCACCTTGCACAAGGAGGGAGAGTAGCAGTGACTGGTCTTTATTACAGGAAGCTCCAAGTCTCACACTGGATTACTGCATAAATCTACAGAAAATACACAAAGCTCACCAAGATTCACATAAGGATACATATGGCTCTTGTATTCTTACAATATTTGTTTTGCCTGGAGAATTGGCATGGCAAAGCAGATACAGTATTTCTCAAGATCAGATAAAAGTATAAAACTACAAAAACAAATCATCTACAATCCCTGCAATGTATATATAATTCACCTAAAGTGGATTTTTATTTTCCTGAACAAAACTGAAGTTACACTTTAAGAAGTCATAATGCGTTTTCGGGATTAATGGTGACAGTAGCTCATTTCCCCAACAGAGGGCAGCGTAGCGCCTCCGGCAGGACGGGCCACCTGCGGGTTCAGGAATGTCGCCTCGCTCTCAGAGATTAACATTGTATCGCTTATTACCTGTAACGGGATCCGGGCAGAACGTGATATCCATCCCTTTCACCGAAGAGTTAATGTGCGTGTTCACAAAACACTCAATGGCGGCTTTGTCGCAGCGGCACAGCACTTTCTCACATTCGTCGCCAGGCTCTGGGGGGTAGAGAGGAGACAAGACCCCCATTTATAGATCCGCTTTCTGCCATCTGTCCTGCTTTATAGTCAGGATTAAAGAGCGTAATTATGTGTACAATGAGCATATACAGTATCTCTGCCCTCCACACCGGCTGGGCACCTCTCGGGCACAAAGGTCCTAATAGAAGCCGTATATTGGGGATTGTTTTTGTACATTTGTATTTTAAACTTTAAATTTAAAGTATATTTAAACCCCAAAACAAATCTGTAATATATTGCAGTTTATCAGTCCTTAGATGTGGGGGCTGCATCAGTTTTCTTTTTTCTTTTGTTCTTTATTTTCACCTGGAGATCCTGCCAGAAACTCACTTCCTGTCCTGGGGTGACAATGCTCACTCACTGTACTGTATGTATAGGGGATCAGCATTGTCACCCTATGACAGGACTACAAAACACCTCTCCCCTTTTCTTCTCTATAGCATGTGCTGTGTATACAACAAGTCATTTTTGCATTTATCAAAAATTAAATTTCTGGCCAGAGCATCCAAGTTTGCTAAGAGCCGCATGGGGAGATGTGTAAGGGCAATACTTATCTCCCTGCCCAGCTCTTAGCAACCTGGGACGCTATGGCCAGTGTCCTGCCCAGCTCATCTTCGCAACCATTGATGTCACACCCCCCCCCACCCCTCCCACCTCATGTGGCTATGGATTCCCCAGGAGAGAGTATGGAGCAAAGTTTTCTCCAAGAAAACCCTTCTATTACACTTTAATGATCCATCCCAGCAGGACGTTCGGTGGACCATGGTCTCGGAAATATAATGGACCATTGTAACTCAATGCAGTTAAAAGATCAGTGCAAAGAAAGATTATATTTTATTCTTGACTCTGTTCCTGTCCACCTGGGAGTTTTATGTGTCCCATATCTTCCTATTACATTCCCCATAATATCAAATAAATGAAAAACCCAGCAGGGTGGGAGCCCCTCATAATGGGCACAAAAGGGGAGAACTCAGCACAGAGATCTCACCAATAGAGTCCCCAAGAGGTAGAAGAAACATTTTGGGGTTTAACTCTCCGGCATCCATCAAACACGAAAATATTAGGTTTGGGTGGACTGACCACACTGTCAAGCAAAAGTGATAGCAGTGTTATAGTCTGGCCCAACCAGTGGCATATCCAGGGTATGGCACATATAACACATGCCCTAGGTGCCACTTGAAAGGGGGGGGGGGCACTCTGTGGGTCAGTGAAAGCTGATTTTTTTTGTCTCTCCACACCACTTCCATACAAATCTCACTGCCTAGCTGTTAGCAACCAGGAACTCTCTGGCCGGTGTTCCTCCCAGCTCCTGGCAACCAGTGAAGTCACTGGATGCCAAGAGCTGGGCAGGACACCAGCAACAGCGCCCCAGGTTGCTTAGAGCCGAGTGGAGGTGTATAAGGGCCATACACATCACCTTGCCTGGCTCTTAGAAACCAGAGCAGGCGGGGAGATGTGTATGCAGGCAGGACGCCAGACAGAGCATCCCAGGTTGCTAATAGTCAGGAGGGCAGATGTGCATGGCCCTTACACATTTTCCCGTTCAGCTCTTAGGAACTAGGGACTCTCTGGCCGGCGTCCTGCCCAGCTCCCTGCAAGCAGTGACGCCATTGGTTGCCAGGAGCTGGGCAGGATGCCACGGGTGTCCTTTGATATAGATAAGCCACTGAGCCCAACCCTTCACTGATACTTTTTTTGGGGACAGCTTGGACTACATACAACTAAGGAAAAATCAAATACAAGAAATTTAAATAACGGAATTAATTCATATGCTGAGCACTATCATCACATGTTTTAACTGCATACCATTCTCTTGTACGAAGAACCCCCCCTCCCCCCCAACCAACCACTGAGCCATTCTACCAGCCATCCCACATGTAAGCTCCACGATGAAGGCACTGATGGAACAATGGAGAGGCACAGCAAAATCAGGGATAATCGGGAAGGGAGTTCTTCTTACATCACCTGAAGGTAAGTATTATCTCATATCACTTACCACAAGAGAGGCAACTGATGTCAGACATTGATTCTTTAAATACACTTTGAATATAGGTCTACTCAAGGAAAAGTTACAGGTTCTCTTGTAAGAAGAACCCCCTCCACCAACCAATGAAATGTTCCTGAATCCCCCGCTACTTCATCTCACCATCCAAAAAATTAGCAAGCTTCACTATGAAGGCACTGATGGAACAATGAAGAGGCACAGCAAAATCGGGGGTTGAGTGGGAAGGGAGTTCTTCTTACATGACATGAAGTTAAGTATTATCTCATGTCTTTTACCACGAGTGAGGTTCTTTGAGAGGCAACTGATGTCAAGCATTGGTCCTTTAAATAAACTTTTGATTATAGGCCTACTCAAGGAAAAATGACAGGTTCTCTTGTAAGAAGAACCCCTTTCCACCAACCACTGAAATGTTCCTGCATCCCCTGCTACTCCATCTTACCATCCACAAAATGTGTAAGCTTCACGATGAAGACACTGATGGAGCAATGGAGAGGCACAGGAAAATCGGGGATGAGTGGGAAGGGCGTTCTTCTTACATGACATGAAGGTAACTATTATCTCATAATACTTACCACAAGTGAGGTTCTTTGAAAGGCAACTGATGTCAGATGAGACTTTAGTTGGGTCCCAAACACAGTCCATCTCAAGAGCTTCTTCATAACATTTACGGTGATGGTAGCAACAGCTGGTAGAAAATAAAAAGCATTGAATGAGAGTGCTGTGAGGTCACTTATAACATTAAAGTGTACCTGTTATAGTAAAGTATAGGCGTTTAAGTGTATGGTGAGTAGGTCTCTGAAGTCAATGGGGTTCTGAGGGCTGAGGAAGCAAAGTCGAATGTTCTTCAGACAGAAGGTACCCTACCTGCATGCCTTACTTCCATCACAAATCTAAATAATAAAAAATGTATTCCTCATTTTTAGGATAGTGGGCAGAGCCATGCAAATCATTCATGTTTGCCCAAATGGGCCAACTGTGTCTCCTGAATGCTGATCTACCACAAATATAGCCTAATAAGAAGCCATTTACTCCAAACTGCATACAGAGATATCAGGCTTGTTGGCCATCATCGTTGGAGTGTATGGAAAACAATGATTTCTATGGAGTATAGACTGGGGGACCACAGAGGTTATGATGAGATGTGCAAAAAGGAACCAAAAAGCCCTTAACTAAATCAGGGTGAAACACAATAAAGCCTTGGTAAAACAAAAGGCATCTGCATGTTCAAATTCAATCACAAGTCCCAAAAATAAGGTGTTTAATCTTGTAAAGTGCCAACAGCTGTTTCAGGATCGATAGCCATGATCAATGCAATGTGTAAAAGCTATGTTGTCCATGGAGTGCGGCTTGTAGACCAATAAGAAAATATAAATAGCCAGATTATAGTGTGTAGTGCTAAAAGATAATGACCAACAGACATGAAGCAACTGTATGCAGTCTGGAATAAAGGGCTCCATTATGCTGTGTGGAGGGGTTTTTGGCCCTCCCTCCCTTTGGTCCTTTTAGCCCACCTCACTTTGACCTCACTGGTTATATTGTTTCACAAAAGAGGATAGGAAGAGATAAGAACCATCCATGACCAGGGGTGCGGGGGCTTCAACACCATCTGTCTTCTACATATAATGTTTTAGCATCTCCATCCTGGCAATTTGACAGCGACTCACACCGTCAGGCGTCAGCCATATGAATCGAATGATTAACACCTTTGCAGACATCCTGACACCAAGGATGGGATTATGTAACTAGAACAGGTTCGTTCCGCAACTTTCACATCTCCCATCCTGTTCATGTGCAATCAGCATCTGCCTTAACACATTCCATGGTCATTGGATTAAGGTATATCTGTAAAAAATCAGTCAAGGCAACTGGACTTGCCGTATTTTTCTATACATTCACCAAATGTATTCCCAGATAATTTTTGTACAAGTCATTCTGAATTGAGAAAGATGGTCAGGAAAAATACAGCAAGTCCAGTTACCTTGACTGATTTCTTACAGATATACCATGTGACCTGCATGAATGAGAACCTTCACAGACATTGGATTAAGGTGTCTGTTCTACCAGTGTGATTATAAATACTGGAGTATGCTCCTGACATTCATTAGAACTGAAGAAGTGGCTTGAATAAGCTTAAAAACATCTTCAACATTACAGAACAAGTCCAGTTGAATGTGACGAACTTCTACTTTTGAGAAGAAGACATAAAACATGTAGAAGCAGGGAATTACTAGGGATGCACCGATACCGTTTTTTTACAGTATCGATATTTTTTTTCCGGTACTCGCTGATATTCAGTACCGAGTACCGGTGCCGTGTGCCCAGATTATCACGAAGTCGGGCGGTGCAGCCCAGCTTCCCGATTGCCTGTGAAGCCGGTGTTCTGGTGAAAGAACACCGGCTTCACTTGCTGAGGCTGCCTGGCTTCCTGACCAATCAGGAAGCTGGGCATCAAGTCGTGAGATGCCGTCCAGCTTCCTGATTAGTCAGGAAGCCAGGCTGGCTAGCAACAAGTGAAGCCGGCTTCCTAGCCAATCAGGAAACAGGGCAGCATGCCAGGGCTTTGGGAGAGTGAAAGAAAGGTAAGTATATGCCAGGAAAGGGTGGGGAAAAAATTAACGGGGCACAGGTTTACTTTCACGAGGCGCATATAATGCTTTTATCAATTCCTGTCACTACCCCCTACATATGAATGTTATCCGAACCAGCCCCTATTGCCCCTGGAAATCATGCAATGGCCATGGAGGGCGCACTCTCTCTTATATAAAATGCAATCGGTATTATATTACTGTGTGCAGTCACCTGTCCACCTCGTCTACGGGAAGACCCTCCAGCTCAAATCTGCAGGCGCAGCCGTAATCCTCCAGGTCCCTGGGGCACAGATCGGTCACACACTTCAGTTTGCTCACAAAGTTCAGCAGAGATGGGAAATTGGTGAATATAACTTGCAGCCAAGTGAACTGAGAGCCCAGGCAGTCTGTCACACAAAACACAGCATTTTCAGTACATCTCTGCAATACATGCGTGATTAGCCATGTTTTATCCCGTGTAAAAACATCTCTAATAATCTACCAGAAATCCAGTGAGCTCCTAACTTCCTTCTTGCATTGACAACACTGTGCTTGTACTGCACTGAAATCCCAACCAGCGTTGTCAGCCCTGTTTTCTGGACTATAGAACCGGCCCCACCGCCCCTCTCTGTCCCACTCCATAAATTTCCCTCTGAAATACTGTTGTCTTGGCTCCAAAGAACCTGCCCAACCACTATGTCTAGGGAAAGGGCTCTGAGGGCTCTCTTGAGAGGAGTACTAAGGCAGGGTGCTGTGATGTTTTCAGAAAGCTATGTACAGCACCCTGCCGGCCCCTCCCACCAGCTTCCGTTGCATAGAGAAGCACTGGGACTTAAAATAGGATATGTAATTATATGGAAATTAGTCTAGCGGATTGCGGTTCGGGTGAGTGGAACTTTTTTTTTAGCTCCCTGGACAAAATGGGCACTTAATAGACATGTGTGACTCGCTTCATTCCGAATAAAAATTCGGACGAATTTTCTGAAATTCGGACACATCCAAATTTCCGATTCCCAATGCATTCAAATGTGTTCGAATTCCCATTTCCGAATTTCAGATCCTGTCCCAATTCTGTTAGTTTTTCGGTTTAATGCCTCCGAATGGGTCTGAACACAATTTTTCGTTACGGCAACGTGGGAGCCATATAGTATATGGCTCCTATGTTGCCGTAACGAAAATTTGTGTTCAGTATATACATATAATACTAAAGCTGAGGCTCCCAGACCCGAATGGCAATTGGGATCCGCATTTCCGAATTGCATTTGGGAGCTGCGGAATGTCATTTGTGTCTGGGAGCCTCAGCTTCAGTAATATATGTACAGACCCAAATGGCATTCCGGAGCTCCCGAATGCAATTCAGAAATTCGGATCCTGAATGCCATTCGGGTCTGAGAGCCTCAAGTTTAGTATTAATATCGGTATATGGTTTTCTGTGGTATTCGCAACGAATATTCGTAAACTCATCCGAAACTAACGAAATTCGGATTTTCTCCGAATCCGAAAACCCGAACCAAATTAAATTTCGGATCAGATCCCCGAAACAACGAAATATCCGAACCGCACCAAATTTGTCCGCAGCTTCCATGTCTAGCACATAACCCTTGCAGTGTAGAAAGTTCATCTCGAGAGAATATTTTTCTGTGTTGGATTCATATCGTTATCTCACAATGACTTTATATTATTTCAACTTACCGAGAAATGACGTCACACTTTCTATGTTCTTAAAAACCCCATCAAATGTAAAGTTATCTACAAGAAAACAAGCAAATATAAATGGACCTTTTAGTAACTTTTGAAGTCTGCATGATGACATTTCTGACAGTGAAAACATACAGCAACAGTTTGCTGTAGGCAGGAGGAAGCATTTCCTCGGTCCCCCCTCCCTCAGTGATCGGTCTGCTGCAGGCAGGAGGAAGCATTTCCTCAGTCTCCTCCCCCAGTGATCAGACGGCTTCAGGCAGGAGGAAGCATTTCCTCAGTCTCCTCTCCCCCAGTGATCAGACGGCTGCAGGCAGGAGGAAGCATTTCCTCAGTCTCTCCTCCCTCGGTGATCAGACGGCTGCAGGCAGGAGTAAGCATTTCCTCATTCTCTTTTCCCCCAGTGATCAGTCTGCTGCCGGCCAGAGGAGTTATATCCTTAGTCTCCTCTCCCCCAGTGATCAATCTGTTGCAGGCAGGAGGAAACATTTCCTCAGTCTCCCAGTAATCAGACTGCAACATTGTAACATTGTAACATTGTAGTATGGCACAAAGTAGGAGGCTGCAGCAGGGGCTTAGCTGTTACATGATTGTGTGATCTCTGAGCCGCATCTCGATCTAGGATGGATCTTGGATGATGCAGGAACAAAGATGGCTCTGTCCTTCTGGAGAGAAAAGCTTTGTCATAGGGAGGCCTGTAATCTCTGTGAGAAGTAATACATATCTGGAAGTGTTACAATGAAACATTTATAATGTATTCACCTAACATGGAAACTATACCTGCTGCCAGCTCTGCTTTATCCTCGGCAACAAACAAGGGTCAAGTCACTAAGATATGTGCATTTTTTTAAAGCCAACGTCCAGCCAAGAAGTTTTATTTCATTATGAATAAAGCAGGAAAAGCTTTAGTCAGTGGTGTCACCACAGCACCTCCCTTGTGACACCACTGACTAAAGCTTTTCCTGCTTTATTCATAATGAAATAAAACTTCTTGGCTGGACGTTGGCTTTAAAAAAATGCACATATCTTAGTGACTTGACCCTTGTTTGTTGCCGAGGATAAAGCAGAGCTGGCAGCAGGTATAGTTTCCATGTTAGGAGAATACATTATAAATGCACCCGGGTGACACCATTGGACAGTCATTTTGATGTCACCCCCTCTAAGAAGTCGGGCACTCGGTCATGGACTGAGAGCCCGACAGTTGTAGGAGAGAGGAGCGGACCCAGGGGCATACCTTATCCCGCTGGGTAAACGTCCCCTCCTCTCTCTGCCGGCGTCCATCACCAAGATGGCGTCAGCAGGTAGTATTATTATTATACAGGATTTATATAGCGCCAACAGTTTGCGCAGCACTTTACAATGTAAGGAAGACATTAGAATCCCAATACAATTCAAGATAAGATGGTAAGGAGGGCCCTGCCCCTGAGGGCTTACAATCTAAAAGGGGGGGCCAGTGATACATGAGGAGGTAGCTGTGTCGGGATGAATTGTTTGAGAACGTGATGGTTAGGTTGAGGTGGGATAGGCTTCCCTAAAGAGACGAGTCTTTTGCGATCGCCGAGAGCCAGTCAGAGTGGGAGAAAGATGGACTGGTTGGGGTAAGGAGTTCCAAAGAATGGGAGAGACTCTAGAAGTCCCGGAGGTGAGCATGGGAGGAGTTGACGAGGTAGCTGGAAAGCAGGAGGTCTTGCCAAGAACGGAGGTGTCAGGGATCCCAGCGCAGGTGACCCCACACCTGCACAGGTACCCTTACAGGCAGACCAAACACAAGTGACCACACGGACCAGGTAAGTATGGTATATATAAATATTTTAATAAACCTAGCAAGCTAACAGAAACAATCCACAACAGGCATAAACAAAAAATGTAACAACACAGGAAACAGGGTACTAAAATAGCATGCAAATATCAGGGTCTCAGGGTTCAGGCCAGAGGACTCAGACAACAGGGGAAAGCAACGAAATCCTGAGCCAAGGTCCAGACTGCAGGGAGGGTTTAAATACCCTCCCAGGAGCAATACCTAATGGGCTGATTCCTGGCAGCTGGGAGACACCCACAGGTGAGCACTGGAGCTGCAGGTACCAGCACCACCCAGTGGTGGTCTGGCACCTAGCAGCCCCTGGCTGCCTGGAGAATCCTGCAGGTGAGCCCAGGAACTGCAGGGCTCAGCTCAAGCGCCACCTAGAGGCGCTCTGGATCCTAACAGGAGGGGATAGTTAGGATGATACTTTGAGACAAGGTTGGAGATGTAACCTGGAGCAGAGTTGTGGATGGCTTTGTAAGTTACCACAAAGATGGCCGTGCATGAGCAATGACGTCACGAGCGAGGTGACATCACGTGCATGCACGATGACGTCACGGCAGGGTGACACCCGGCCACGGGATATCCCTGGGTTTAGACACTCCCTCAAGCTTTTTATTGCTCGAATCATATAGAAAGGCACACCGAAACTAAAGGTGAGCGCGTCCAATCAGTTTTTAAATGTATATAATTTGATCCCATAAGACAGCCAATGTGTCATCGGGGCCCAAAACACTTCATCGGTGCCAGAGGAGCGGGTCAAGGCGAAAAAAATGATGCGACGCGGGAAAAAAACTGCAATGAAATATAATAAAAAAAGAAATACACACTGAACAGCAGTCATCTTCCGACGTGATAAAGGTGAATGCAACCTCCAATACAATGGACGGAGGCGCTGAATAATTCTTGTTGCTCATTAAATTCGACTTTTGCCTCCTAAAATAGTCCTGGTCTGTGGCTGTGCTCTGTTCATGGCGGAAGGAGTTCTGTTCTCTTGAACTTGTCATAGACGATACAGGCGGGACTGGCAGGTGCTCAGAGCCAGGCTTATACTTAGCCACATCAATAATTTGCCTATAGGACCCTGTAGGACAAAGTCACTCGAGCGGCTCTAGATAAAGGTATCCACGCACACACATGCATATTAATACATCCGCCCAATTTAGCATCCTAAGGACGTATTATGCAGCTGATTCAGAACACAGTGACATCAGCCTCTGCCCCAGAGGAGCTTACAATCTACTGGCTTTGCTGAAGCCATGCACACACATGCTCTGGGGTCGGTGCTGGTGGAGTCCAGTTCATATTCCCGTATGGTTTTGCATTTTGGGAAGAAACTGGAACATTTAGATGAAGCTTAGGACAGGTCAGAGTCCAAAGATAATATCCCCACAGGGACCTGAATTCAGGGCAAGTGGCTGTGCATATCAGCCCGAAAATCTGTGATGGGTTCTAATAAAAGAAACCTGTACAGCAGCCCCCTAGGCGTCTTATGGTGGCCCCATCCAATGTGCTGCGAATGTGAAGCTTTATTTATAGACCTCGCTCCACATTCAGTTCTGTGCTCTCCTTGCAGTCATTTATTTTCTATACTTGTATCCTTGTCCTGAAGCAAAGAGCCCTCAGCTGTCCTGCTTCTCATTCTGTCTCTGAGTAAATGTAAACTCCAGGCAGATATAAATCATTATTACATAGATTACGTTAATGCATTTTTTTTGCAATCAGCATCGGTACCTGAGTTTGGCCTGGTATCAGTCTCTTGTAATCCCTGTAACAGCAGAGCTCAGACTGGGGAAGGAAGAAGCAACACAAGGATCCAGCCAGCATGCTGATAAAAGGAGAGAGCAGAGTGGCAGAGAGATGCACTCATATGTCTGCTACTTCTCCTTTCACTGTCCAGTCACAGGATGGGGGGTGGGACAAAACCTGTAAGTGTTACCGCACTGCAGCAGATCTAAATTCGGTCTCCAGCCCTGCCAGAGAGGGTTGTGCTGTTTGGCAGAGTTGTGTAATTCTCAAGACGGGATGGACAGAAATACAAATCCACTGGCAGGTAGGCAGGTAAAGCAACCCCCAAATATGTATTTCACCTGTGTTATTAGCTGTTTCCCTGGAGTTCATCTTTTTGCTGATCTAATTTGTTGCCACCTTTTCTTCAAGTGAAACCCTAACACTCTAGCGACGTGCTGACATTTTTTGGGGGAGAATAAGTCGTGGATTATTCATATATAAATATCACAGTTGAGACTATTTTCAGTGGGGGGCCAGTAGACCCTATCTTAATTTTGGTTGCCCCTGTCTGCCTGATATCTTGTGTTCGGGTTTCTGCTGCCATGAAACCCGAACACAACATTCAAAACCCGGACTGTCCGTGTGAATCCTGGACAGGTGGCAACCCTACCCCCCACAGAGGCATACTTACCCTGATCCAATGGCCACAGTTGTGCATTTTGCTTACAATCCAGAGACACAAGTCTTCACTGTCCTGGTCATGCCTGCACATTCTAGCCCCATAGACCTCTATGGGATCACCTCCCTTTGTTTCTGGCCTCTAGACACCACCCCATAGATGTCTATGCTTCTATACTAAAGTGCAGCCACAGCCAGGACAGTGAAGGCTTGCTGCACTGGATGTAAGCAAATATTGGAGGCCGTGGCAGTTGGGTTGAGTATGCATCTATGTAGGGGGAGGGTACGTTAGCTTAGGTCAGGGCAAAGGGGCAAAATGGAAAAGTGGACTTTGTCTTAAAGTGCTCATATCCTTCAAGCTGAGTACAGCATAATGTATGCAGCATCTAAGATGTTATTTTGCCAAAATGTTTTTTTAATTTTTATTAGAGTCTCCATTTGATTTATGCAGGAATTGACACTTCTGGGAGGGTCAGAACAGGGGCTATCAGTGATCACGCCTTCCTCTCTGATGTCACTTCTCTGTGCCAAAGCTTTGCACTATAAGTTCAAGTCCCTTCCCTAAAAATATTTTGTCCTCCCTGCTTCCCTCTTCATAGCTTTTTCTTTGTTCTTTCATTCTCAGGCTAGATTATACTGCAGATGAAGTGGCCCCTGGCGGCACTTGTGGGCATCATCCTGTGCCAGAGGGCCTACTCCAGCAAGTGGGCCAAGAGGTTGGGAAACCTCTGCTCATAGTCATATAGTGACCTACGGGTATCCCAGGTAATGCTTGGCCATGCGGCCTGAAACAGTAGTAACCTCCAAAGTCCTTGTATGGCTCACCTGGTTCACCTGTATCTGATTCCAAGACAGCAGTGCAATTCTCCCGCCCTGTCCAAGACCCTCAGGGTCACAGGGAGAACAAGTACACCTGCCCTCGCTGTATTCCGCCAACTAAATTTGCAAGGATAATTCACTCTATGACGCCACTCATGGCACCACACACATTCCAGTTCACTCAGTAACAAATGTCCACTCATTTCTGCTTTTCTTAACTGAATGTTATAACATTGTTATTATTGCTGTGTTTACTTTAAAGTGTATCCATTACCAAAACGTGTTTTATTTTTGGATAGGGTGGTTAAACAAAATACATGCTCACTGGCTGGTTAATTTGTTTTTTTTCCACCTGCCAGCTTCCATTCTCAGCCCAAGAAGTCCAAGAGCATGGCATCACAATGCAAGAGGTCAGGGGGATCACAGCAACTTGTGGAGGCCCGGCAGGTCCCATACCAAGCATAGAAAACATTGCCACAAATGCCACCATGCCTACATCCCTGAAGCGCTCACGGTGAAAAAAGGAAAAAAGAGCTGGGGCTGCGGTACAGTGCCTTTGCCAGACAAGCCTGGATGAGGAGATTGTCTTTGAGACCTTTCTAGGTCTCAATGAGACTTTGAAAGTCAACAAGTAACATCCCTACTCATAAAGGTTGCTTATACAGGTGAAACTCGAATAATTAGAATATCGTGCAAAAGTAATTGCAGTAAGTGCTGCAAAAGGGGCCCAAACCAAGTACTGAGTACATATGCATGCTTGTACTTTTCAGAGGTCCGATATTGTTCTATGTACAATCCTTGTTTTATTGATTGCATGTAATAATCTACTTTTTTGAGGTTGTGGATTTGGGGTTCTTGGGGTTTTCATGAGCTGTAAGCCATAATCATCACAATTATGACAAATCACGGCTTGAATTATCTTGCTTTGCATGTAATGAGTCTATCTCATATATTAGTTTCACCTTTTAAGTTGCATTAGTGAAATAAATGAACTTTGCATGATATTCTAATTATTCGAGTTTCACCTGTAAATCCCTGTCTGAAATTTTAAAATGCTTTGTGCCTGTGGGTCCGGGTCAGAGCTTTATGTCTTCATGCTCCCCAGTACTTAGATTGGTGCTGAATGCCTTGTTCCCGGCTCAACCATCGTTGACACCAGCTCAAAGAGCACCTCTCTCATAGCCATCTACTTCAGCCCATCGCCCAGATCCTCCAAAGTCAGAGGAGGAACAGTCCACTTCCTTGGAGGAAGAACTAGAACCACCCGGGTTTGACTTTGCTCTGGTACAGCTCTTCATCAAGTGGGTACAAATAGGAAAATGAGTGGGAGGAAATGGAGGATCCTCCTAAGAAGTCTAAAAGTCTCTTTCCAATTGCAGAAATACCTTGTTTTTTCTTCTTCTTTTAATTGAAGAAATAAAAGAGCTGATCCAGGACAAGAGGAAGAAGGTGGACCTACCACCCTGATGCCCACCTGTCATTCTTCAGATGGATAAAAGGACAGCAGCCTCCTACATCCAGAAGAAGGGGGTGATCCACTGGTGTACTCTTTTTAGAGAGGTAGAACCCATCATGACCTGGGCAAAGGAAAACCTCCAGGAGCTACGGGCAGTGAACCTCCTGGGTTCCCAGAACATTGAAGCAGGGAATCAGACATCCTGTTCTTTCTGCACAGAGTGGTGCTCAGACCACTTTAGCACTTCATCCCTGAAGTGGGCTCAATTCTCCATCAGGCAAAAGAGTGGGAGCTTCTGTCTTTTCAAGTCCAATCCAGAGAATTCAATTATGTATAAGCTTGATGTTCTAAGAACTCTAAGGACATATCTTCATGATACCTCTTCATTCAGAGTCTTGACAATCTTTTCATTCTACCAATTGGTAGCTTTAGGGGAAAAGGATTGACCTCAAGGACTATATCATCACAGATTGTCAAACTTATCCAGAGGGCATGCAGGCCTGCAGGCCATTCATGCAGGACCACCCACCAGTGGTAAGGGCTCAACCACTGCTGGTAGCCCCTACACCAGTTTTCTGGATAGCACTTGCCAGGGTCTCCTTAGAGACTACCTGCAGAGTGGCAAGGTGGACATCGCAACACACATTCTTTAGGCATTGCATTGTGGACCCTGGTGCCTTGACTACCATTGACATTGGCAAAATAACAATTCGAGTGTCTTATCACCCTCCCTGTCAGCTAGTTATTTAGCACTTGTATGCTGCCAGGTAGGCATCAGGAAACCAGAAAATTATATTAAATACTTATTTTAATTTTCCATTTCATGTGCCCATCCATGGCAGCATACGGACTCACACTCTGTCTTCATATAGTTACATAGAATGCTGTGAGGCCATCACTCTTTTATAGCTTGAAACTGGCACTATAGATGGGGATAGGGGCAGAGCTCTGTCATTAGTATGCTGTTATGGATGGACACCAGGAAAGGAATATTACAGTTAGTACTTAATAAAATTTCCTTTTTTAAGCTTAGTAGGAAAATGCTAGAACCCCACCAACATTTTTATTGTTAAAAATTAAACTATAGACTGGTTAATAGTCAAGGTACCACATACTTGATTTTAATACAAACCAAGCTTCTCTTCCAAAGCACGGCACTTAAGGTTACCAAGAGACATAAATACACCAACAAAATAATCCTTGAAAAATGTGCAATGTTTTAGTCCCATCTATATTAAACATGTCAAAAACACATTTTACATAGCTGCGTACCATTACTTGGCAGTCTATATCATTGGGTACAGATATCTTCTAAACACAATAATCTCCTAAAATCTCAAAACCTCCTGATCGGCTCATGTCTCTAAAAAAATATTAGGTTGTCTTTCAATTCTAAACAAACCATATATAACAAAACACTTTAAATGGTGCATTTAACAAACCAAAAGTGAGCAAATAGAAGACATTCATTGTTAGGGTTGAAACACACTCTGACCAAAACTGTAAATAAGATTGTAAGATCTCATGGGCAGGGCCCTCCTAACCATCTTGTCTTGACTTGTATTGTAACTGTAATGTCCTCAATATATTGTAAAGTGCTGCTCAAACTGTTGGGGCTATATAAATCCTGATTAATAATAATAAAATAATAACAATAAAAAGTTTGGTTAATCTTTGAATTCAGGAATTTGTAAATAAGCCACTAGAGGCTACAATGACTCTGCCTAACTGCTTAACAACTGCAGAGTTAAGATATCAGCCACACAGGGAGTGCATTGTTTTTATGAGTCTTTTTAATGAGTCTTATGATGAAACACCAGTAATGTTTCATTTGAATTTGGTAGGCTGTTTTTACTATGGAAGCCCCTATGTCCAGCAGTTTTCACCACACTTACTAAGCTAAGGGAAAATTCCCCTGCAAATTGAAAATTCTCTGGCAAAGTGAACAGCCTATTTGCCTTTAGTAAATCAACACCTAAGTGCCAGGTCTTGGCTCCATTCTTTCCTTTCTTTCTTATTGTCATCAGTAAGAATGACATTACTTACTGATATTTCTCAGCGGCAGGTCGTTAAATTCATGTAGAACAGGAGATACTCCAGACTCTTGTGCATAGGTGGTTCCTAGGGCAAAAGAAAAAGAAAGTGAAAATTAAGACATAAGATGTCCTCTTGTTGGTTAAATTGGCTCATCCTCTCCCAAAAGAAGAAGGTCAAGGAGGAAACTGGTACTTTCCTCCATGGTACCTTGTACAACAGGGCTCTCTTCTGAACACATATATATTAAACACACTCTCCATATATGTGTATATGTAAATTTCCCCTTTAAAGTAGACTTATGAGTATCTTTTATAGATCAGCCTGAGTGAATCCCCAACATGTCCCAATATACAGCAACAGGATAATTTGTTGAAAAAAAAATGCCACCTTTTATTAATAACAAGCAATCCATGAGCTCCAGCCAAAGGACTGTCTAAGTTGAGATGATGTAATCAGTCTGCTACAAGTGGGAGGAAGCATTTCCTCAATCTTCTCTCCCCCAGTGATCGGACTGCAATATGGTAACTTTGTTGCGAGTCACAAGGTGAGAGGCTGCAACTGAGGCTTATTTGTGTCAGACATTTTTGAACATGGCCAAGAACTCACATAGATACGTCCATCACACATCAAACTGGAATGCAAGTGTAGGGTGCTGAATATGTTGCCAGCACACCTTAATCTTCTGCAACTAAAACTGCCTTCATTAAAGTTTGTTCAGCAACGTTGCAGAACCATCAGGGGTCCTTCATCCGGAAGAGTGATGACAGGACCCCTGGTGGTCCCCAACAAGTTAAACTGTCCTGTATGACATGCTGAATAACCATCAATTGCAGAAGATTGAGGTGTGCTGGCAACATATTTTACACAGACAATAACTGGCACCAAGGTTTCCATGATCGTGTTATCTCTGAGCCAGCACCTCAGTCCAGGACATAGATGGTGACCCTAGATGATGCCTGGACAAAGATGTCTTTGTCTTTCTGGGAAGACAAGCAGATTAGGACATTCTCAGGGGAGTAGTGTGATCTCTAATAGAGGTAATAAATACCTGGAAGTGTTACACAGACACATTACTTGCATACACTAATTATGAAAAGATATGGTCCATTTTAACATAAGGATTTGTTCCTGCACACCTGTATAACAAAGTTACAAACTGAACAGGCAAATTACTTATTTGTTGCTTTCAGTCACTTTGATCCAAGTATGTTTTTGTTTTTTGAACCTCCCTGTATGCTTTCATTGAATACTTTCATTTTATTAAAATGTATGGTTAGCGGTGGTGTATATACTTTTCCAGGTACCACATCCAAATTCATACATTCAAAAAAGAACAGTAAAAACTTGTCTGACTTTTTAGGTACCTTGGAATTAAACTATAAAATGACAATGAAATAAAATATTTTTGTCATCCTATATTGTTATATGTCCAGTTTACATCCGAGGTACCTAAAAAGTCAGACAAGTTTTCATTGTTCTTTTTTGATTTTGTTAAAATTGACTTTTCAATATCACCATCTATGATAAGATAATATAAGATATGTACAAGTATACATAATAAGATATATAATAATATCTAATAAAATACATAAGATAAAATAATAAGATATAATAATAATAATAATAATAACTGTACTTTCGGCCAAAATTTTGGTGCATCCCATATATATTTATGTATATATATATATATATATATATATATATATATGGGATTGTGAGATGCCAATGAATGAAAACATAGATTTTTTATCATTTTATATGTGTAAACATGAGAGTAAAGTACAATGCTATTAAAATTAACTTTGTGTAAATCAGTGTACATAGATAAGTAGACTTCAATTTTGCGTATATTAAAATAAGCTACAGTAGGGAAAGCTGTTATCAATTTTACCAGCTAATGTAAGCACTCCTGCTGTTAGTCTGATATACAGCCCTTTAAAGGGTGACAAAAGTCCTATATACTGTATCTGTTATCTGAGCCGCTCTCATGCTCTTGGATGATGAATGAGCATCATCACCTTTGTCCATTCAGTAGGAAGGAGACCCAGGAAACTGTAAAACTGAACCATGAAGTAGCAGAGTGATCATCCTAGCTATGCAGTGTGAAAGAGCTGTGTAGATCACAAACCTGGCTGGACAGAATTACGCTTAGACAGTTGTTAAAGGGAAACTAATGGTTTTGGGTAATTTAATTTAAATTGGGGTTTTTTTCTTTTAATTTTTTTTACATTTTTTTTTTACATTTCTAAATTATTGTTTTACATCTGTTTTTTTTTTTTGTTTAACCTTTTTTATTATACAGTATCTATGTTAGGAGGCTTGTATTTCTTTTCTCTCTTAAAGAGACAATGTCAGGGCTGAGTGACAGTGCCTGTCCTTAGACTACCGGAGCCCGGGGGAGAAGAGGCTGTGGGGACAGGTCTTGAAGCCAGGCAGGACTGAGGATCAGGTAAGTATATATATTTTTTTATTTGAGAACCCCAAACCAAAATGAGCACTTAACCCTTGCAGTGTGGGGGTAGCCCTGTAGCCCAACTGCAAAGCATAATTTTTTTTAGATTCCTGAAGTTCTTGTTTAACCACCTCCTATCCATTGGCCGTACCTAAACGGCCAGACCGGAGGCTTGTAGATGCCCGAGGGCATCTTAAGACATCCCTTCCTGCCCCCACGTGTGCGTGGCGCCAGTGTGTGCCCCCCCGCCTCTGCCGTCGGTCCCGAGATCCTCTGTGCCTCCATCCCTCAGCGGCTCTGTCACCCAAAATCAAAGGGAGATTAGTACACGATCTCCCTCTGATCTTCTCTCCAGTCCCTGAATGCAAGAAGTGATGTATATTACATCACTTCCTGCATTCAGTGTCACTCTCTGGTTACAGATGCTGGTGAGAAGCTGCTGAAGCAGATCTCTGCTTCATCAGCTTCTCTGGGGCTCCCTAGGTGACATGGCCCCTTCTCAGCCCCCTATGTGAGAGCAATAAATTTAAGTGCCAAAAAAAAAAAACAAGTTTAAAAAAAAATTAAAGAAGCATAAAAAAATTGAATCACATATAAAAAAAGAATAAAAAACCCACAAACATTGTTTTAAAGTCTCCCGCTCGCACACACACACATGCAAACATGCGTCAGGTGCGCCTATGTGCGAAAACGACGATTGCACCCATTGTGCCACACATGTTACATATCACAGCGAACGTCGGAGTGAGAACAATCGTTCTAGGGCCATCAATCACTGATAACACTGAACTGATGAGCGGTAAAAGCTTTTAAAGCGTCGTCTATGGCCAATTTTGAGTGTCATCGTTTTTTTGCGATTTTGTGGGCGCACGCAATTTTAAGGCTTGACATGTTTGGTGTCTATTTACCTGACGTTACCCCCGCCTTTTATATTTTACTCAAAAAATGGTTAGTAATAAATGTTTCATAACATAATGTAGGGAAAACTGTTTTTTTTTTCAAACTTTTGGTAAATTTTCTTTTTTTTTAAATTTATTTAAGTTTTATTAATTTAAATGAATCAACATAACATAAGTCACATAAAGATATTCAAAGATTATTGAACAAGTATTGACAATAACTGGTACATTTTCTTTATGTAGTAAAAAATAAAAATCCCAGTGGTGATTAAATTCTACCAAATGAAATCTCTATCTGTCCTCAAACAATTGTATAAAATTAATTTCAGTACAGCGTTGGATGATGGAATAAACGTCAGTCAAAGTACAGCAGCGCTGTATACTGAAAAATGGCCTGGACAGGAAGGGGTTGTAAACACCGCAGTCATCAAGTGGTTAACGTAGCTCCTATCACTAAATTAATGCTGAAAACTACACCATGAAGAAAACAGTAGCAGCTCTACATAAAACACTATTCCTGCTGGGATCTAACTATTGCCATATTTTCTTCAACATCTCAGGAACATTTAGGCAAATTTTACTGAAGGAGTAGTCTCTACCCTAGTCTGTGTTCACTTCACTGTTTGTTGTAAACTTAAAGTGGGCCTGAACTCCAAAAGTGAAGGTCTGCTATCTTATGGGGAACAATTACAGATATAACCTGCACCTAAGCTGAAAAAAATACCCTTTGTTTTAAATTGCTCTTAAAAAAATAGTAGTGTGCTATCTGTGACTACAGACACATACAGTAGCTGTGCATCCGCTGTATAAGATCATCTAAGGCACTGATGCCATTGAGCGCTAGTCTCACTAGATTTGGAGTGAGATTTGGTGATGCCACTACTATGCTGTTCACTGTTCTTCTTGCTGGAGAGGAAGCTGTATCTGAGAACCTGCATCGCAAGGATCTCCCTGCTTCATTCATTCTGTGGATCTGTGCAGTGGCGTAACCAGAGTTATGGGCGCCCGGGGCAGAATTTTTTTTTCACCCCCCCATATTATATAAACATCCATTGTAGAGGGCCGCCCGCAGTGGCCTCGGAAGAGCGAGCGGCCACGCGATGACAGCCAGGTGATCGTGTCAGGGAGAGGGAGCCATGGCTTTGTTTAGCGGGGGTCGTGACGGCGCCCCCCCTCAGTCCTGCGCCCGGGGCAAGTGACCCCCCCCGCACCCCCGGTTGTTACGCCACTGGATCTGTGCTTCCTCCACCACTCCTGCTACTTCTTGAATATTCCCCCACCAGTCATCAGGTGGGCAGCTCTGACATGAGGAACCAAAGCTCTGCCTATGCCGAGATGGCTGCCTCAGCACAACGACACAATGAAGAACATGGCATGGTAACTCAATAATGGGGAAATGATCAGCTGCAGGTAAAGGCAGGTGCTCCCACATTTCCCGCAATGTCAAAAAAGACACTGACATGATCTATATTATAATCTACCAATGAGAGGCACACTAGGATCCGGGGGGTATTTTTCTCAACAACACAGCGCAGTGAAACGATTATTCCATTGGCTCAGAGATCTATTCATTTCCTACAATAAAGCTATAATGAATTCTTAGTAAGTGCACATTTATGTTATTTCTGAAACATGTTTCTCCAAAATATTTTTTTTACATGATTCCTGTTTTACATTATATTTCCAAATCACATTTCATGTACAGATTTCTAAACACTTGCTCCAGTAGACATCACAATTCGGACGAATGTTTTGAAATTCGGACACATCCAAATTTTTTAATCCCAATGCATCCAAAAGTGTCCCCGACCTTGAATTTTCGTTTCCGACTTTCGAATCCGTCCAAATTTTAATAAAAAATTAAACTAAATCGGACATGAGACTTTTCTGGCCAATCAGATGTGTTTTTCGGCTGAATGCATCCGAATGGGTCTGTACACGAGTTTTCATTACAGCAACATGGGAGCCATATACAGTACATACATATAATACTAATGCTGAGACTCCCAGACCCGAATGGCATTCAGGATCCAAATGTCCGAATTGCATTCGGGAGCTCCCAAATGCCATTTGGGTCTGGGGGCCTCAGCTTTAGTAATATATGTATATGGCTCCCAGACCCGAATGGCATTCAGGATCCAAATGTCCGAATTGCATTCGGGAGCTCCCAAATGCCATTTGGGTCTGGGGGCCTCAGCTTTAGTAATATATGTATATGGCTCCCAGACCCGAATGGCATTCAGGATCCAAATGTCCGAATTGCATTCGGGAGCTCCCAAATGCCATTTGGGTCTGGGGGCCTCAGCTTTAGTAATATATGTATATGGCTCCCAGACCCGAATGGCATTCAGGATCCAAATGTCCGAATTGCATTCGGGAGCTCCCAAATGCCATTTGGGTCTGGGGGCCTCAGCTTTAGTAATATATGTATATGGCTCCCAGTCCCGAATGGCTTTCGGGATCCAAATTTCCGGATTGCATTCGGGAGCTCCCGAATGCCATTCAGGTCTGGGAGACATATACATATATTACTAAATGCCATTCGGGTCTAGGAGATTCAGCTTTAGTATTAATATATTTTTATGGTTTTCTGTGGTATTCGCAATGAATATATTTGTAAACTAACGAAATTCAGATTTCGTCTGAATATGAAACCCGAACCAAATTGAATTTTGAATCCGAATCCCGAACTCCGAAATAACTGAACCTAATTTTACTGCAGCTTACATGCTCCATTGGTCATATGTATTACAGAGTATGAGATTTGCACACTTGCTTAATTACTGCTGTGATTAGCTCAGTTAGCCTTACAGAGAATTATTTGTTTTCAGTCAGGTCTCTGCCATGGAGAAACACTCAGAAAGTAGACATTTAGTTCTGAAACAAAATTCGGACGAAATTTCAGAAATTCGAAGATTCGGATGTATCTGAATTCTGAATCACAGATATAACGAATGCAAACAAATCCAAATTTCCGATTCCGAAGTTCATTAGCGGTAGTCTGTGCAAAATTTCGTTTGTTGGAGGAAATTTCGTTGCAGCAAAATGTCACTTTGCTGGAACGAACGAAACGAAAACGAAACAAACGTTCGTACAGACTATCGCTAACAAATTTTGTCTGAATCTGAATTCCGAAACGGATTGATTTTCAGGACCCGAATTCCAAAAAACGAAATAATGCAAAATCCGAATCAAAACGAAACACATTTTGTTACCGGTGCACATGTCTATCAGAAAGAGAAAGGGTAAAGCATAATCCCTGTGCAGTAATTTTAAGCAGGAAGTAGAGTCGGCATATGTAATGGACAAATATGGCTGCCCCCATGTATTTGTCAATTAGCAATCTGTATTCAAAAACAATGCTTTTAAAGCAATAAATCTAAAAACTGTAAAAACAAGCAACATTCACCAACAATTTATTACAATTTATTGCTAAAATTTTTAACACACATGATTTTTCTCACACATGATGAGGCTTTTCTCTATCCCAAAAATATGAGTAATTTTTTCAAATGCATTCACACAAAGCTTCATTCTAAAAGAATTTAACTCTCCATTGTGTTCGCTCATAAAAGTCCTACCAATGGCCATCTTAAAAAGGTAAAAGTACAATTCAAAAAAGATCGCAGTACCTCAAGCTTTATCTTTTTTTTTTCCATCCTTTAGTGGAGAACAAATGCTTTTCAACAAGAAGTCCACAATGGTGAGAAACATAGTACAAAAAAATAGTTTAAAAAAAATAGTTTAAAAGGGCCGGACAAAATGCTTTCACATGATACCATTGGCTATTGTCCACATCCAGAAGACATTCTTACGGTTCACTAACTTATTGAGACATTTAAAAAAAAGTAAAGAACAGTAAAGAACAGTAAAACATTCTCCGTGTAGCAATATTGTGACTACCAAAACACCAAAAAGCAACTAAAGGCAATATTTTTGTAAAAACAAGTTTTAACAGAGAACATTTAAAAAAAAAAAATAGAACATTAAGTTTACTGTTACCGTAACAGTATGTGAAATGATATGAAATTATAAAAGATGGTAAATATATTGTCTCAGAGCAAATACAGGAATATATTCTGATAACATAAAAGTAAATATTTTAACTTACCAATCTGCAAAAGCATCAAAAAACTCATCAGATGTAAAATAATCATTGTCTGCCTAACAAACAAAACATGATAATATATAATATAGTTAGTGAAGGTGGGCATGATGAAGATTTTTGTTTATAAAAATTTGTGTAAATGTAATATTGCCTTCAAATGCTCAGAAGTAATATACTAACTGCACTATTTGTCATAATTCTTATATATATATATATTTTTTTATATATATATATATATCGACACACATACACACACAGACATTTTTCAAACAATATTTAATTCTCTAGTTTTCTTTAATGAAATGTTTGAGAAAAAAATAAATAAAATAACTCTTCTTTTCTATGACTATTTACAAAATTAATTTAAAGTCTACAAAAAAATATATCTTTTTAAAGGTATATAATATAATACATCCTTGCGCACATTTATGTATCATAAATAAAAAATGTAAATGGTAAAACATTTATTTTGTAAAATACAGTTTTGTAAAACCAGGAAGGCCCTGAATTAAGCTTTTTTTCCCCAGTGCAATTTAAGTGGACTGAATACATTGGATAAAACGGAAAAAAAAAATAAGAATTAATTAAAAGCAAAAAAGCTATCTAAAATAAATATATATTTTATCCAAATTGTTTTTCTCTAAATGTATCATTGAGTTGCTTAAAATGTGTTACATTTTTGTAACAATAGTAAATAAAATATGTATTTTTGTCTAAAATAAAAACAATGAAACGTCTTACCTTTTAAATTTTACCCAAGAGCCTTAAGTTGGAGGGCAGGTATCTTTTAAACAGCACTGGATGTAGTGGCTTTTATCAACTTTGATGTGTACCGGACCCATGTGACCATCTCTTTTAACTCAGTTCAACATTCATAAAGTAATCCTTTCACAAAATACCTGAAGGTCAATATGCTCTTAATAATATATCTAGACCTTCTACATTAAAGGGCTCTATTGTGAGTACCATTCATTGCTCTCCAGCGTGACTGGATACATAGCTACTAATTAAAGAACAATTGCGCTATTGTTCTCCACCTGCTATGGAGGTTCTATGTGAAAGCTGCAGAGAGGTTAATGAGATGGTCAGGTAACCCTTAATGATGACAGATATGTGAGATATACATGGCCCATCCAGGGACTAACAATCCTAACATCGTGTGTTAAATGTATGTGAGTTTTTACAAAATGTTTTAAGTTCTTGTATGCATCTGAATTCTAAAATACATTTTTTTAAATATTTCACCAGCATTATACTTAAAGTGATGCTGAACTCAGAAGTTAAATCTTAAAAATATATTTAAAAACCTTAACTATTAACAAAAATATATCTTATTTGTGTATCATATGGCTGTATATCCTCAAATCATCTCTGAATTGGTGCTGACATTGTCCTTCCTTCTGGAGGGTAGGGTGGCTACTTTTGTTCCCTATGGTCCCTGTGTGTGTTGTAAAGTAGTCACCGCTCCAAGCTTGCTCCCTCCAGTGATGGACTACAATCTAACTACAAATTAGTTCAGTACCTCAGTGGTAACAAGCAATATAGCAAATCAATGAAAATAGTAAAAAAAAAGAAAAAAAAGTTAAAAAAATATTTTTAAAAATTGTAAATACATATTAGATTAAAAAAATAAAATAAAGATTTTTTAAAATAAAAAAAAACTATTGGGCCAAGCTAGCAGTGACAGCTAGCTCTGCCCAACTGTTTTCTATTGGCCGGCACCTGCTAGACTTGCCCAGTTGTCATTGTTTAATGACAGTTCAGCATCCCCAGGTCATTTGTGGACACTGATCTGTCACTACAACTGGGGGTAGCCAGCCGTTAGATCACGACTGGCTCCGCCCAGCTGTCATTTGCGCATAGTGAATAGCCCGTACAGCAACTCTTCGGTTCGTCTGAACCGAAGGGCTCCCGCAACCGAAGCTAGCCGAAGGATCAGCGGAAGCTATGGCTGGATCCTTTGTCAGCTTTGTGAATAGACACCTTAGTCTATTTAACCCCTTCATGACTGATAACTTTTTTTATATTTCTTAAATATATTTTCTTTTATTATTTCTTACATTAAAGGCTAAAAAAAAGAAAAAAATATTTAGACAGTTTTTTTCTGAAAAATCTGAATACGAAAAAAAAATACACATTTACCACACTGTTGTTTCCTTGTGGCAATAACGCTGTTGCTTACAGAGCTCAGCAGCTGAAGCTTAAATTTACACATACAGCTGAATGATTCAAATGAATGAGTCACACCCGCTCCCCCACACCTGATCTATTCAGATGGGGCCCTAGAGAGAATCAAATAGAGAAATACATTCTGAAAGAAAGCATTTTCTTCTATACTCTCCTTTACAAGCTGCCTTCACCGCAGAGATGGCGTTTTCTATTTTAAGATTGATTGGTGCAGAAAGCGCCATTTATTGGACAGTATGCCAAAGGCACACTCCACCACCTTGTGTGCTCGGTTGAGCCTATAATTGAAGACCCTCTTCTCCAGGCTCAGTCCACGACTAGAGTAGGGCCTCAATAAATGCTCACCAAGAGCAAATGCCTCATCTCCTACAAACACAAAAGGCATTGCAGGTTGAGCGGTACCAGGCAGCGTGGTGTTCCCTGGGAGGTCCAGATCACCATGGCGCAGCATGAGTCCAAAGTCAGAATGGGCGAATACTGCCGAGTCTGAGCTGCTGCCGTAGGATCCCACGTCAATGTAGCGGAAGCAGTAGTTGGCATCTGCTACCGCAAAAAGAACGACAGAATTTTTTAAATTGTAATTAAAAAAACGACTGCCACTCCCAATTGGTTTTATTACACGAATATGTTTTCCGTCTATGGCTCCCACACAGTTCGGAAAATTGCATGACGTGGCAAAAAGTTCTGCAATTTGCATCCACTCCTCCTTGGTGGGCTTGGACATGACCACATCACACAGGACATCCCAAATCGCACAGCATGTTTCCTGGATGATCTTGCTTGCAGTCGATTTCCCAATCATGAATGCGTAGTGCAGACTGGCCAAAGACTGTCCAGTAGATAAATACCTAGAAAATGACAGATAAAAGCAATAATTAGTTCATGTTTACATTTTGTTTTCACAGTAAATCTGATAAAGAATAAATGAAAGAGTGTGAAGTACGCCTTTACGCTCCACAGGAGCAAAGAGAGGGAGTACCGAAGTGGTTCGGCTGCCAGTGCCCCTTGTCGCTATATTCACGCCGAGCAGCTTGCATTTTTGATTCCTTGCACGGAAGTGCGTAGGTAAGACACGTCAATTACAAGTAACATGTCATGAATATAGTTTAATGTAACATGCAGATAATAATATATTGCACATACTAATGTATTGTTTATTACTCTTTACAGCACCGGCAGTAGCTGGGGGCCTACTGAGAGGCAGGAAGAGGACGAGGAGGACTCGACCACACAGGCCACTGAGCCGTCCTTCTCCCCAGGATCAGAGACCCCACCAAATCGTACACCACCACCACCAGCGACACCAACCCCGTCTGCCCCACCAGCCAGGGGACCTGTGCGCAGGTCACACATGCCATATGTCAACATTCCTATCACAAACACACCCAGGTCACAACAGCACAACGCACATGGCACAACAGCACGACGCACAGGGCACAACAGCATAACGCACAGGGCACAACAGCATAGGGCACAGGGCAATAATATACAATTCCATATAAATAACTAATTTCATACCTGCAGCCACTGCACATCGCACGATAATAAAAACATAGGACTATAATTAAACATAGGTGATGTTAGTGAACTTACCGCAAAGTTATGATCAATCTTTCGGCTGGAGGAATGCTGTCTCTCATAAATGTGTCCTGGCGCTCCAACTGGACAGACATCAAACCGAGCAGCTCATCAAAACTGTAACATATAAAAAAGTTGGGGGTCAATACTAGCAATTAGCTTCATTTTCTAACATAAGCATTTAGCAATAATAAGCAATAATAAGCAATAAGCATTGTATATGTACTAACCTGTTTATGGACATGCGTGTATAGGAAAATAATTTCTCCTCATGGCCACGGAGGTTTTCATACATGGCTCAAAACTGGCCTCTTTGTTGTCGGTTGGCAATGATTGGATGGACCCAGAACCTTCGCCTGCTCTGTCTCTTTCTCCTCAAGCGAATAAGCCGCACAGCCGCAATGAATGCTGCAGTTCGTCGTCGGTTCACAAGCTCCATAATCACTGCACTCAGCACACTCTCCTCTATAACAAAGAAACTGCACACAGCACACGTTCCTTTTCAGACAAAGAAACAGAAAAAGGAAATGCTGCGTCTCAGGAAGTCTTTTTCATTGGACCCCTCCGTAAAGACCGGAATTCATTTTCATTGGACGCCTCTGTAGTCGATCAAAAACGTGCGTAGGTCGCGCGTTTTCTAGTGTGCGAAAACGCTTGACAATATGCCCCAAAAACGTCCGGAAAAAACGCGCATTAAACGTGCATACAGGAAACGCCCAGGTGTGAACACAGCCTTAGAGCAGCCTTTCTCAACCCATTGTTAGTTACAGAACCCTTTAAATATATGTAACATCTTGCGGCACCCCTTTCTAAAATGTCACAGATTTTAGGGTGGACCACACACAAAAACTCATAAAAAAAGTGGGTTTCCCTCGTCACATCAAAGTTCATTTTCAAATCAAGGTTCCACCCTTCACATCAGGAGCCCCTTTTTTCCCATCAAAGTTCCCCCTTTACATCAGAAGACCCCTTCACATCAGTCTTCACATCACAGTCCCACCACCACAAAATTTTCAGGCACCCCAAAGGAAGCCAGGAGTCACACCAGGGGGCCACAGCTTGAACAATTGATCAAAGATTGCAACAAAGGATTGTTCGAATGGTGGATAAAGACTCTCCATCAACTTCCAGACAAATTCAAGCTGACCTCCAGGCATAGGGTACAACTGTGTCAGCTCGCACTATACGTCGCAATCTGAATGAAAAGGGACACTATGGTAGGAGACCTAGGAGGACCCCAGTGCTGACACAGAAACATAAAAAAAGCCAGATTAGAGTTTGACAAAACTTACCTGAAGGAGCCAAAATCCTTTTGGTTGAATGTGCTGTGGACAGACGAAAACAAAATTACAGCTTTTTGGTAAATCCCATCATTCTACTGTTTTCAGAAAAAGAAATGAGGCCTTTAAAGAAAACAATACAGTCCCTGCAGTCAAACATGGTGGAGGTTCACTGATATTTTGGGGTTGCTTTGCTGCTTGATGTCTTGACTGTGTGCATGGCATTATGAAATCTGAAGACTACCAAACAATTCTGGGGTGCAATGTAGGGCCCAGTGTCAGTAAGTTGGGTCTCCGTCAGAGGTCATGGGTCTTACACAGCAGGACAATGACCCAAAGCGCATGTCAAAAAGCACCCAGAAATGGTTTCAGACAAAGCACTGGAGAGTCCTGGACTGGCCAGCAATTAGTCCAGATCCAAATCCCATAGAGCACCTGTGGAGAGATCTCAAAACAGCAGTTAGGAAAAGGAACCCTTCTGATCTGAGAGACCTGGAGCAGTTGGCGAAAGAAGAGTGCTCCAAAATTCCTGTAGAGAGGTGTAAGAAACTCATTGATGGTTACAGGAAGCCATTGGTTTGTTATTTTTTCCAAGGGCCATGCTACCAAATGTTAATTGAGGTTGCTAATAATTATGTGTAGTCCATTTTTAGAGTTTTGCGTGGAATGTGTCAGGTTTGGATTTTTTCTGAAATATCTCATGTACTTAACAATTCAGACCCTTTACTCAGTACTTTGTTGAAGCACCTTTGGCAGCAATTACAGCCTGGAGTATTTTTTGGGTATGATGCAATAAGCTTTGCACACCTGGATTGGGGGATTTTCTGCCATTCTTCTTTGCAAATCCTCTCAAGCTCAGTCAGGTTGGGTGGGGACCATCAGTGGACAGCCATTTTCAGGTCTATCCAGAGATGTTCAATAGGGTTCAAGTCAGGGCTCTGCCTGGGCCACTCTAGGACATTCACAGAGTTGTCCCTAAGCCACTCCTGTGTTGTCTTGGCTGTGTGCTTAGGATTGTTGTTATGTTGGAAGGTGAACCTTCCACCCCGTCTGAGGCCCTGAGCGCTGTGGAATAGGTTTTCATTGAGGATACCTCTGTACTTTGCTCCATTCAGCTTGCCCTCAACCATGACTAGTTTCCCAGTCCCTGCTGCTAAAAAACACCCCCACAACATGATGCTGCCACCACCATGCTTCACTGTTGGGATGGTATTGAGCAGGTGATGAGCGGTGCCTGGTTTCCTCCAGACATAACGTTTAGAATTGAGGCCAAACAGTTCAATCTTGGTTTCATCAGACCAGAGAATCTTGTTCCTCACAGTGTGAGAGTCCTTCATGTGATTTTTTGTAAACTCCAAGTGGGCTTTCATGTGCTTTGCACTGAGGAAAGGCTTCTGTCTAGCCACTCTGCCATAAAGGCCAGATCGGTGGAGGGCTGCAGCGATGGTTGTCCTTCTGGAACGTTGTCCCATATCACATAAGATCTCTGAAGCTCAGCTCTCCCCTGATTGCTTAGTTTGGTCAGGTGACCAGCACTTGGAAGAGTCCTGATTGTGTTAAACTTCTTCCTTGTGAGAATTATGGAGGCCACTGTGTTCTTGGGAACCTTCAGTGCAGCAGAAATTGTTTTGTAGCCTTCCCCAGATCGGTGGAGCAAAAATCCTGTCTCTGAATTCCCCAGGGAGTTCCTTTGACCTCATGGCTTTTTGCTCTGATACAGTATGCATTGTCAGCTGTGAGGCCTTCTATAGAGAGGTGTGCGCCTTTCCAAATCATATCCAATCAATTTAATTTTTCACAAGTGGACTCCAATCAAGGTGTAGAAACATCTCAGCAACCATCAAGAGAAATGGGAGACACCTGAGCGAAATTTCAACTGTTGTTGCAAACGGTCTAAATACTTTGTGATATTTCAGTTTTTGCATTTTAATGAATCCACAGACGTTGCTAAAATTATGTTTTCATTAATTTGTCATTATGGGGTACTGAGTGTAGATGAATGAGAATTTTTTGTGAAAGAATGGGTCGCTCTCAGGAGCTCAGTGAATTCAAATGTGGTACAGTCATAGGTTGCCACCTGTGCAATAAGTCCATGCGTGAAATTTCCTTGCTGCTAAATACCTGTTAGTGGTATTATAACAAAGTGAAGGCAACTGGGAACAACAGCAACTCAGCCATGAAGTGGTAGGCCACGTAAAATGACGGAGCGGGGTCAGCGCATGCTGAAGCCCACAGTGCACAGAAGTAGCCGACTGCAGAGTCAATAGCTACAGACCTCCAAACTTCATGTGGCCTTCAGATTGGCAGAACAACAGTGCATAGAAAACTTCATGGAATGGGTTTCCATGGCCGAGCAGCTGCATCCAAGCCTTACATCTCCGAAAGCAATGCAAAGCGTCGGATGCAGTGGTCTAATGGACTCTAGAGGAGTGGAGACGTGTTCTCTGCAGTGACAACTCACGCTTCTCTGTCTGGCAATCCCACGGACGGTTGCCAGGAGAACGGTACTTGCCTGGCTGCATTGTGCCAAGTGTAAAGTTTGGTGGAGGTGGGATTATGGTGTGGGCTTGTTTTTCAGGGGTTGAGCTTGGCCCCTTAGTTCCAGTGAAGGGAACTCTTCAGGCATCAGCATACCAACACATTTTGGACAATTTCATGTTCCCAACGTTGTGGGCACAGTTTGGGGATGACCCCTTCCTGTTCCAACATGACTGCGCACCAGTGCATAAAGCAAGGTCCATAAAGACATGGATGAGCGAGTTTGGGGTGTTACATAAGATGCCTATGATTGCTGCTTAGCTGTATTTTAGACTAAGTAGACATCACTGCTCCTCTGTCTTGGACCAGGTCTGATCTAAATGAAATAAAGACTCTATTTAAGACTGAGATTATCTCAGCAGTCACTTAGCGGGGGAATGTGTATCTCTTTTCTCATATGCAGATAAGCACTGAAGAAAGCATATTCAGATCTGTACATGACATATCATAATCAAAATATGGAACAACAAGCAAGTAGAAATGTGAACGTAAATGTTACTATATAATTTCAAAATGTAAATACACACAATAGCTCCCAAAATTTCTGTAGGAAACTTAAAGTGAAAACCATTCCGGCTTATAGTCCAGTCAATGTTAGCCCCAAGCAGGTCCATATGGCAAAAACTCTTTCACTAAGTTATACTACTGGGTCCTGTGTGTAGTAGTAAAATGTTTAACTTTTGTCATGATCTGGATCAGGCTCGGAGTCCAGTAGCTGAAACAGCAGGCAAATTTGTTGTGAAACTGGCCGGGTTCGGTACACAAGCAGGCGGTAGTAGTATAGGAGCAGGCAGAAGTGTAGTCAGAGATCAAGCCGAGGTCGGTACACGGGTAGCAGTATGAGCGGATTGTATCACAGAAGGAGCTGGAAACAATATATTGGCAGGAGCACAATAATCTGGTAAACAGGAAGTGCAGAGGCATGGCTTAAATAGCAAGTTCAAGGGAGGAGCAAGGAGTTCAGAGTTCAGCAGAAACTAGGTTTACCTGAGGATTTCACAGGAGATGAGGCAAGCAGCTATCCAAGGCTCTAAGGTGGCTCAGCAGGTAGAACCACTGCCAGCTACAGCAGAGGCCTGGGTTCATATCTGGTTCCTGACCGCTTTTTTTTCAATAATGAATCCAGATCAGACAAATATACATCGCCCAACAAAATTATTTCTTTACATTTTTGCCCAAGCACTTACAGTCAACATGTTTCTGAACAGCTCCGACTCTCTCAGCTCAGCTTCCCTGAACTTCCTGTCCTGTATAAGATCACAATGAGACAGAAGTCTCCAGAAGCTGTCCATCTACTAGCTTGGAAAAGGGTGAAGGGAAGAGAAGGATAAGGAGGGAGGCTAGCCTTGCTGTGCCTGTGTGTTTGTGGAGGCACATGCAACTTACTAGCACACACAACGGTGACTCCATAGGACCCTGCAAGGCAAAGGAGCCACCCTAAAACAGGATATCTGGGCCAATACTTAGGGGACCAGCTGATTCTGCAGGAAGCTAAAACTCTTAAGCATCAAGAAGCAGCATCCATTGTAAGTTATTTAATCAACATTTGAAATAGCCTAAAAACCATTTTACTTTAATATTATTTTAGGATATTTTTAAGATTTATTTTTGAAATGTAGTGTTATACTCTCCAATACTTATACATCCCCCATTTCTCCTCTGATGCAGAGAAGTCGACATTTCTGATTTAAACAGAAATAACGATAAAGCAATAAGAAAAAATACGCAAAAAGGAAAATCTTTTAAAACAACGTATTTTATTTACGTGTTATAACTGGTTTAGAAACACATTTTAGGCATTTAAAATGACAATTAGGATACGTTTAGAAATATTATTGCTAAACTATAATTAAATCTAAATTTTAACAATGAAATTGTTTACATTGTAATTTATATTAACAGTAGGTTCAAACCTAATTTATCATAAGCAGTTCTTGTTTAACAGTTCGGTAATTATTTAAAAAGAAATATTCAATACTTGGCTTCGGGGTGTTATAATTAAATAACCTAAATTGTTTCAAGTAATGTGATATCCAGGCATTTTCCCACAGGAATTTAGATGGATTTGCAGATGTTTGCGAGACATTTTTGCTTTAAAGCTGTAAAAAAAAAAAAAGAGAGAAAAAGATCATAGCTTCAGAGCAGGTTGTCATAAGTTATTTTGCTTTTGGTTGCCTTTTTAAAGTTACTTTTTGAATTAGGTAAATTAATTCATCAAGCAGTATAATAATTGTTGCACATAGAGTGACAATCTAAAGGGAACATATTGATATTAATTGACATTTTTATGAATGTATTTTTTACTATTTAACAAAATAGTTATTTATGTTTTGTTTTTATTTTTCTATTTTTTAAAACTAAATATTATTTACTGTTATTTCTCAATAGATTACACAAGTAATATTTAGATACCACAATCCTAGGGGGCTTGAAGTTCACCAAGACAACATCTGCCAGATTAAATTATAAATTTGGTTTTGAAATCATTCTCCAACTACGGTAAATAAATACATAATTAATATACAATATGATCTGTGAAGTTGTTTTAAAACAAAAAAATCAATAAACCTTAAAAGAAAGAAATGGCAACAGGTATTCCCGTGATGAAAAGATACACTGAGTTAAACCTATATCTCAGAAACAAAACTGGACTACAGAACTATGTCCCAACCCTTTTCTGCCCCACCTCCCATTTATAAATTATTTCCCAGGAACACATTGCTGCTGCCTTGACTCTCGAGAGCTTGCCCACGCACTGTGTTTAAAATAGGTCTCTTATGACATGTATTTCTGGGGTGGGGGATATTGGGGGGGGGGAGGGAATGAGTTTCCCTATGTTGCAGTAGCATAGTGGTTAGCACTTCTGCCTTGTAGCGTTGAGGGTCTCTGGTTCAAACCCCAGCCAGGTCATTATCTACAAGGAGTTTGCATGTTCTCCCTGTGCTTCTGTGGGTTTCCTCTGGTTTCCCCCACTCTCCAAAGACATGCTGGTAGGTAAATTGGCCATCATATGTATGCATGGGAGATAGGGACCCTAGATTGTATGCTGCTTGTAGGCAGGGACTGAGGTAAATGTGCATTATGTAAAAGCACTGAGTAAATTGTTGGTGCTGTATAAAAGCCAATAATAAATAAAATTAGGAACTGAGCTCCCAGTGGCTGCCCCTGCAAGAAGTTTTGCAAGCCTGCTGATGACATCACATGACAGTAAATTAACAAGGTAAAAGAAAAAAAAATGGAGGTGAGCACTGCAACCTGAGGGGAAAAAAAAAAAGGGAACAGTTTAAAAAAACTGACAGAAAAGGAAAAAGATGATGCCACTCTTCTTCTTCTTCCAAAAATGGGACTACCAGTGTAGCTGGACACTCTATTAAAACCGCACTTCCTCTGTTGGACACAAGTCTGAGGTGGGCTGACCAGAGATATGAAAATGTAAAATGTATGGAATGTTATATGGTTTATCAATTAAGTTCAAGTTAAGTATGGACTGAGTCTCTTCATTCCTGTAAGGAAGTGTGGCCTATACCTGGGGAACCCAAAGGAGCAGCCAGTTTGGGGCAGGATTGTGTAGTGGTCTGGTAACGGCAAGCCA